GACAACTTGAGACTTCATAACATCACGGCATATGAAGCGACTGAGCGCGCCCTGGCTCGGTTGCCGATCATCTGATAGACTGCGACGCCTAGCGGCACAAGCAGATTTTGACAAAAGAAGAAAGAAGATTATATATTCACTGTATATTGACAACAAATCAGGTTACAGTACACATCCTTGTCGTACGCCCCTCTTTATGCTTTGAAATGTACCTAAACAGTTGTCTTATAGCTGCTGTTTGCTGCCAATACATATTCTTTATTATTCGTAGATTTTTTCCATGAATTTTTAATTTTTCTTACAGTTTGATTATTTCTTCATCCTTCACACAGTCAAATGCTTTTAAATAGTCTATGAAGCATAAGTACAAATCAGTCTTTACTTCTATAGCGCTTTCTGACAATGTCCTTAGGATGTATATGGCATTGTTTGTACCTTTTCCTTCTACAAATCCACATTGTTCATAGTTGATTTCTGGTTTAATTTTATTTCTTATTCTTCTCATAATTATTCTCAGTAAAATCTTAGTCATGTGACTCATAAGACTTATTGTGCGATGGTCTTCACATTTTAAAATGCCTGGTTTCTTTGGCAGAGCTATAAATATGGTCATTTGGAATATACCCACTATTATAAATATCATTTAAAAGTTTAGTTATTATTTCAATTCCATAATCTCCCCATGCTTCGATTTCTTCCAGTGAGATGTTGTCTGGCCCGGGTGATTTTCCTTTCTTCATATGATGTATTGCATCCTCAACTTCTGCAGTCATTATTGGTGGACCATCATTGTTGGTCTGCAGTTATACATCTGGTCTATTATCATCATACAATTCCCCTATATACTCTGTCCGTCTGTTGATTATATTACTATGTCCCATTAATAAGTCACCATCTTTTGAATTCAAACATCCAGTGCTGTTACGTGTCATCTTTCCTGTAAAAATATTTATCTTTTGGTACATGGAATGTGAGTCTTTCCTGTTGTTTTCCCCAAATCTGATTGCGGACATTATCACCAGGACTTTTTCAAGTGCACAATCTTCGAGGATGGTGTTTAAACCAGGTGTTACCTATTAAAATAAAAATGCGTCAATATCTTCCTCGGAACTATCTGCTGTTGGGGCATAAATCTGCACTAAGTTGATGTCAAACGGTCTGCCGCGAAGTTTTACTAATAGTACTCTATCTGATATTGTCCACAATCCTGTCACAGTTGTTGAGTTCTTTGGATCTAAAATAATACCCTGCTCCTGGCCATCGCATTTCACTCATTCCTAATCTGTTGATGTTCATTCTCTTCATTTCCATCTTGATGTTATCCAACTTTCCGTTTTGTACGAGTGTTCTGACATTCCATGTACCAATGTTCATGATGTTTCTACCATTTACTTTTTCTACAGTAGCTGGATGATGGTCGGGTATCACCCGTAGAACATGATGCTCCCTACCGGACGAGGTGATTCTACCGGAATCTCCATTCACGTCGTTATCTGAATTCCTATTATTTTGAGGCATGATTTTCTTGGGATAGTACAGCGGTGGTTTCCCCTTACCTTCCGCCGGTTTGTATATGGTTTGACTCCAATAGCCTTTGTCTAAAGAGACTTACCCTGCAAGGCAGCAGTGGGGAGAGGTTATGGCGCCTCTTACCTGCCGATGGCCATGTCGTAGAGTTTTGAGGTATTTTATATAGATAGCTGTCCCACCAACTAACTCGCCTTCTCTCAATGACCATCACCTGTTTTGGTCCACGGCCATTTATTCAATATATTCGTGGCTAACCTCTATATCTAGAGGCCTCTCCACCATCCGCCACCTGGTGGACGCGCCTAGTAGTAGGACAGGCTCCTACCCCAGGTATTATAGTAGATCAACATAAATTACAGGGGGCTTTGGTTTATCGAAGTCTCGATCCGTTTAGGAAGACAACAAATATAATAAGAAATGGCGCGAATCTCCGTTACTCCGTACGAGGTCATTACAACAAAGTCACAGAGTGCTGATGGTCTGTAAAAATATGGGACACTCTGCCCATATGCCCGATGCGCCGAAAGGCGTGAAAAGGGAACTTTACTTTACTTTTACAAACTGAAATAAAGATGTTAACTGTAGGTCTACACTGCGTTTAGTAAATCTGCGTCTTTCTAACGGAGGAACCATGAGGAAAATGTGAGCACATATTAATAGGAAAAGCCAGGAAAAACCGAAATATGCCAAAATATGCCAGTTCATTATCTTACGCTAGTTCAATTCAAAATATGCCAAATTTGTGGAATCTGGCACAAAGAATGCCAATATGGCAACCCTGATCACGGAACCACAACCTCTTCACCTCGTTTGTTGGGGAGTCAACAAAGATATGGTGTGTAGAAAACATGTACCGGCAACTGTGACGAACCACGGACTACCGACACCTGTAGAACAAGTTAAACACTTGTTAAACACAGTGCTACTTCAAGTAAGAAACCTACTACTTCCCTGTGCACTGTCATGATATTTAATAGTGTATTTGTGTAATAATAACATTTTAAGGTATCCTCAGGTGTCTTGATCACCGATAGGGCGATCGCTAGACTACACATTCCCCAGCCTCCAAAATATTGTATATGGTAATAGTAATTGTAATTCAGTTGACAGTTCGAATTCGATTCGTGTTATCCCCCCCCCCCCCGCCCACTGTGATATTTTCTGTTTGAAAGAATCATGGAGCAACTAAACTGGAATTATTAATTATAGCATATTGTAAACTTGAGCATTTGCATGACTGACACTAGTAGGTAAACGTGTATTGGAATCCCCACCAATGCTGTTTTACTGTTTAAAAAAAAATCAATGACAAAAAACTGATAGCAATATTAGATTCCTTTTTCTTATCGCGTTGTTGGTATCATGTCTATCCACAGCCTTCTGTCTCGTGTACTTGTAGTCAACTCTGACACAGATAATCTTCCATGCCATGAGGTCAGACAGTCCAGCATCCTGAGCATCTGCTCTCTCTGTCTCCCCCTGCCTCTCCACAGCCTTCTGTCTCGTGTACTTGTAGTCAACTCTGACACAGATAATCTGCCATGCCATGAGGTCAGACAGTCCAGCATCCTGAACATCTGCTCTCTCAGTCTCCCTCTGCTTCTCCTCCCCTCCAGTTTTCCTACCGTCACGATGTACTCCAGTTTTCTCCTTCTCATCACATGACCCAAAAATGTAGATTGTCTCTTTTTGATGTAGTTTCTATTCAACATTAATTATTCTGAATACGCAGAAAAATTAAAACAAGAAATTCTTAGGAAGTCAAAGAGGGAAGTATGTTTTTGGGCCACCCAAAGTGTTGGCAGGTCTGCAAACATCAAGCTAGCACCTGTTAAATTCATACAGGCAATATGACGCAGAGCACACAGAAAGGTCTTTAACCTTTTGTATAGTATCACTGAAACATTTAAAAAATCAGATTTTTATAGCAGGATCAGTCTTGAAAAACATGTCCAATGGTAACCAGTGTCTCCTTGGACCGCTCTAATTAGAAATAGATATGCATCTTTAAAAGTTAGTTAATATTGTATGAGAACAATGAAAATACAATAAAACTGATATGCCTACTTGCAAACTTGTATATATTGCCATACATATTTGATTTATTTTATGTTTATTTTAAATTTATTTGCAAACCAAATTGATGCTGGTGAAATGGAGTCTGGCCTGATATGTGTAAAGAGTTGCTAACCTCAAGTGGTGACATTTATCCAGAGACTGCGTACTTTATCAAGGAGTCTGGCCTGATATGTGTAAAGAGTTGCTAGCCTCAAGTGGTGACATTTATCCAGAGACTGCCTACTTTATCAAGGAGTCTGGCCTGATATGTGTAAAGAGTTGCTAGCCTCAAGTGGTGACATTTATCCAGAGACTGCCTACTTTATCAAGGAGTCTGGCCTGATATGTGTAAAGAGTTGCTAGCCTCAAGTGGTGACATTTATCGAGAGACTGCGTACTTTATCAAGGAGTCTGGCCTGATATGTGTAAAGAGTTGCTAGCCTCAAGTGGTGACATTTATCCAGAGACTGCCTACTTTATCAAGGAGTCTGGCCTGATATGTGTAAAGAGTTGCTAGCCTCAAGTGGTGACATTTATCCAGAGACTGCCTACTTTATCAAGGAGTCTGGCCTGATATGTGTAAAGAGTTGCTAGCCTCAAGTGGTGACATTTATCCAGAGACTGCGTACTTTATCAAGGAGTCTGGCCTGATATGTGTAAAGAGTTGCTAGCCTCAAGTGGTGACATTTATCCAGAGACTGCCTACTTTATCAAGGAGTCTGGCCTGATATGATGGAACTAGGTGTAGGTTTCAGAGAGTTACATTTTCCTCAAACTAGTTGCTGCTTTAAGATAGTTACATACTGGCTTCAAGAAGTCAAGTTTGATATGTAGAAACTTATTTCAGGCAGACAAATTAGGTGTCTGTAAGTTGGATATTATATTCAGGAATAAAAATGAACATAATGGTTGTACATTAATGGCTAGAGGCAGCCATATACATTGGAGACATTTTTATCAAAAGATATATCCATGGCGGGAACTGCTGTTGGGGTATGAGTCACTATGATTTTTTTTTTTAGGCCCAAGAGACTGTAGTCATGTTATGTCTGCTCCACTTATGTTTATTGAATACTCCTCTTCATATATTTATACAAGAACATTTGTTAATACATTCAAAACAATATAAATATATATATATATTAGTGACCTGTGTGTGTGTTTATTTTTTTTAAAGAAAGTTTTTGGGTTCTAGGCTTTTCTCTCCTAATGGTTTGTGGGTTGAGAAGGTGGAGTATCAGCCCCTCACAAATGTTAGGCCACAATCTATATGTAATATATCGCTGACAAATGTTAAGCCACAATGTACATGTAATATATCTCTGCCAAACCAAGGGTCTGTTTGTTATCTGCTTTAGCCAGCAATGTGTAATATTATATTATTGAAAATGTATCATTGCTGTAGAAAAGTGATGACTTGCAATCACCCACAACCCGTGATAGCGGACATTTACCTACAGCCAGTTGAACTCACAGATGTGTTTGTTGCCAATATAGAGGACAAGAAGCAAGCAGCAAGAATAATCAAGTATGGATCTATTTATGTTTTATTTTTATTTCTGAATGCCAGTGATAAACCAGTTGTTTCCTATGTGCTGTTAATAATGTTGAGGTAACTCTTAATTGCAAGGAAAGATAATTCTAGATGAAACTGATTTGATTATGTTATTATGCATTGATTCAGTATTTTTAAGCATTTAGTGAGCAGTCACATGACACAGTATATTACACTGCACTCTGGGAAGGCTAGTTTGGTCAACAGGTGTCGTAAAGAGGTCAGATGGAGTTCTTGTCTACAGAAAGACATATCTAGACCCAGAGCTGGTAACATGGGTGTTATTGGTAATCTGACGCACCTATACTCAGTTGAGTTGAGTCTAGAATTGACATGACAGCACTCGGGGCATTCCCATATATGCTCTGTCCTCATCTTCTGCAGCTAGCGCAGAGTTCCAATACCGAAAGTACCGGTCACAATTTGATTATATGTCTGTCTTGCCTTTCCTTTGAATGTAGTGAGCCGACCAGACCCTCTGTTTTCACCCAGGTACCCCATTCTCTCCAGGTCATAATAATCTTCTTTCTCTACTGATTCCGTTGCTTGTTCCCAAAGGGCCTTGACCACATCTGCCTTGTCATGTATCAATTCACCACCCAGTGGTGCGGATCCAGCCAATCTGTCTGCTGGTTCATTACCCACTACGCCGGGAAGGCCTGGAGAAAAGATCCTGTGACTTTCCAAGTGAAGCTTGCCACTCTGCTCGAAGCATCCATGTCTTCACCTTTCAGCATACTTTCAGAGTCTGTTACAATTACGACATGTGTATGCATCTTGTTCTCTAGCCACCGGAGAGCTGCAGTTACCGCCTCCACCTCCATTCTCATGCTAGATGTTGTGATGTCGTATGCTAGGCTGTCTTGCACTATTTTCCATTGGCTTTCGATACGAACCCCCAGGCATTTCTCTTTCCTCTCAACACCGAACCATTTGTATAGAGAATCAGATCACCTGGGTGTAAATTGTCGTGAATCAACTGTTGGACTTCAACCTCCCTGGCACCCGCTGGCCACTCTGCACACCCGGCCCAATGTTATAATAACCCTACACAGGTCATACTTTTCCGCTGGTACTCTGACCCACTCCTCTCCTCGCCCAATGTTCTTCAGCATGCATACTTGTCTTATTGTGTCTTCTGCTTGAGCCATCCACAATATCCCACTTTTCAGCCTCTGACCCTTGCCTGCAGCCAAAGCTTCATACAGAGGGTGTTCTTTGTCTGCAGCTACTCTGAGGTATGACTTAGCCTGCAGCACCTTTAGCCTGTCTGCAAAAGTCGACAATACAAGGATGTATCGCGGGCACACAATTGGGGTGTCTCTTGTACATACCTAGATCCAGTATCTGGTGACATGGGTGTTATTGGTGATCTGACACACCTAGACCCTGTAGCTGGTAACATGGGTGTTATTGGTGATCTGACACTAGACCCTGTAGCTGGTAACATGGGTGTTATTGGTGATCTGACACATGTAGACTCAGAAGCTGGTGACATGGGTGTTATTGGTGATCTGACACATGTAGACTCAGAAGCTGGTGACATGGGTGTTATTGGTGATCTGACACATGTAGACTCAGAAGCTGGTGACATGGGTGTTATTGGTGATCTGACACATGTAGACTCAGAAGCTGGTGACATGGGTGTTATTGGTGATCTGACACACCTAGACCCTGTAGCTGGTAACATGGGTGTTATTGGTGATCTGACACATGTAGACTCAGAAGCTGGTGACATGGGTGTTATTGGTGATCTGACACACCTAGACCCTGTAGCTGGTAACATGGGTGTTATTGGTGATCTGACACACCTAGACCCTGTAGCTGGTGACATGGGTGTTATTGGTGATCTGACACACCTAGACCCTGTAGCTGGTAACATGGGTGTTATTGGTGATCTGACACATGTAGACTCAGAAGCTGGTAACATGGGTGTTATTGGTGATCTGACACATGTAAACTCAGAAGCTGGTAACGTGGGTGTTATTGGTGATCTGACACACCTAGACCCAGTAGCTTGTAATTGCTGTCAATAACCCACACTTGTTAACTCATTGAAATTTTGTTTGTTGGTTCTCTGCACCTATAGATGTCTAATTCTGAACTGTGAAAGTATTATTGCTTCTTTGTTTATTGCTGTGCTGGTTTCAGAGAACTGAGCATACAAGCTTCCTAGTAGGCTCTCCGGCACTTGAACTTTTCAGATGGTAGCGTTATATTATGTTGTGAGGAGGCATGGGACTCACAGCCCATGTTGATGGCGAGTGTAACTAGCAAGACCTGAATGAATTAGTCTTCTGCAATCAGAGCTTGGAATTTTATGGCAATAGTTGTCACCACTAGTATTTAATATGCTTCTCATTTTTCCCTTCCTGATTTGCATCCTCCACACAGCAAGGTCCACCTCGCCTGATTATAAACTGTGAAAGTATCACTACTATCATATTATTAATTGTGAAAGTATCACTCCTATCACATCTTTGCTGTGCTGGTTTCAGAGAACTGAGCGTACAAGCTCCGTTAGGCGACCTCCAGCACTTGAAGAGAGTTCGGTCACAAACAGGCAAAGGTAAATAATGGACACAAAATTAGAGAATTGTCATTTGTTACAGTAACAAAATAAATATAGAACACATTGTAATGAGAAACATGTGTTTAAATACATATGCTGTGTAGGCAGTAATTTGGCAGCTCCATGGTAAATATAAATGAAGTATGAGGGTAGGAAACTCAATACTGCAGCATACATGATACTGAGAGAAAGACTGGTTCTCGTGAAAAAGTGTACAGATAAGAGAACTTGGTGTAAATTGAGGTCCTCTGATACCAACAGTGCCTTCAGGCGTGATGAAAGCACATGTTTCTTCCACCTTCTTCTTAACATTCACTGGCTGTAAACTCTGGCAGAAAGTTCTGGTTGTTCAGCCATTTCTGGACTTTGGTCTTGTTGCGGAACTGGTCTTGTTGCGGAACTTAACTTCAGCATGCATATCTGTTTTACAGATCTAACATATTTATTTGCAGACAGTTACTCATCTCAGCAGATGCACTCTGACTTCCAAGGGACAATGTTCCTTCCAAAAGTTTGTCTGACTTCAAGGGGACAATGCTCCTTCTTGAAGTTTGGTCAGATAAAAGTTTGGAAGCCGCTCTACTAGGTTATTGTATGAGCTGGAGTAACTCTGTTCCAACTCAAAGGCAATAATGGTCCTAAAATACAGACTAGGAAAGTAATGGGCTAAAACAATCGTTGATGAAGGATCTCTCTACTGATGATCGGTGGACTCCTGTTGTGCATGCTTCCCTGTGGAGTTCTTATTATTATACAGACACCTTGATTTTTTTTAAACAGTTATTTTTCAGGGTTTCACATCCATCCCTGCAAATATACATTTGTTTTAAACTCAGCTCTAGAATTTGTGTGTCATGCATACATTTCACTGTTGCCTTTTTGTTTTTAGATGTATCTCTACAAGTTGTATTGTACAAGGCCAAATCTGGGAGTTGTCATTGCCCATCTGATAATGGGATCAGTGTTGACGGGCTAGGGTCCAGATATGTGGTGAAAGTTCCAGCAAAACCTCCATTAACAAGACATCAGTACAATCAGGCAGTTCAATACTGGCCTGTCAGTTTTCATGAAAACAAAGAGTATGCATTTTTTGGGTCATATGTGTATTAACACTGTCCTCTAAACTTGTATGTTATTGCGTTAATGTAGTGTGTAGTTAGTCACCCAACACACACACACACACACAGACTTCTGTTCAATATGATGGGTAGGCCAACCTTGGAGAGTTTATTTCATGCCATGGTTTACTGACCCAGTTTTTACATTGGATGGGAATCTATAGTTGTGGGTCACATAAATGCAAAATAACAGCATTTGAGATGTAGAAGAAATACAGCAAGGGGGGAGGGGGACAGTAGACAAAGTCACTAGTGAGGAACTAAGAAAAAAGGTAGGTACAGTACTGGTCAATGATTTCATGGAACATCCAAGAATCAAATGGTTGGATTATCTGCTCATAATGGAACAAAATCAGCCAACAGCTGAAGCATAATACAAGAGACTGACCAAGAAAGAGACAGGTGGAGAAAGTAAAAGAGACAATAGAGAAACACAAATGGCATTAACACAAGCTATGCAACTATCAAAAGTCAGGAGACTACATATTATGGCATAAGCAGCAGAACACAAGAAGAAGAAGAAACAACACTGTGCTGTATATTTCATGTGCAGTGCCTTTCATTAGTGCCTGCAGCAGTGTGTGCCATGATGTTCAGAAAATCGCAGCTGGCCGCTTTGCATTTGAGCTGATAAAGTGCCTTATGCAATAATAATGTCTGTTTGGTCAGTTTATCATGACTGACTACTTCCATCAGCAGATTGCAATTCTGGTAGTGATTGTTGGTGTCGGCACCTCTAGTCAACATTTCCTGCATGTTTCTGGATTGTACCGGTACTGATTGTTTGTTCTCTAGTTTTTTAAAACAAACCACTAAGGATCACTTTATATGGTTTTCACTGGTGAGCAGTTGGGGGACAACCCGTTTGCAGCGAAGTTGAAACCTGGATTACCATCTACTGACAACACAAACACTTGAGGCTATGACAGCTTGTCTTGAGGCTATGGCAGCTTGCCTTGAGGCTATGACAGCTTGCCTTGAGGCTATGGCAGCTTGTCTTGAGGCTATGGCAGCTTGCCTTGAGGCTATGACAGCTTGTCTTGAGGCTATGGCAGCTTGCCTTGAGGCTATAGCAGCTTGTCTTGAGGCTATGACAGCTTGTCTTGAGGCTATGACAGCTTGTCTTGAGGCTATGACAGCTTGTCTTGAGGCTATGACAGCTTGTCTTGAGGCTATGACAGCTTGCCTTGAGGCTATGACAGCTTGTCTTGAGGCTATGACAGCTTGTCTTGAGGCTATGACAGCTTGCCTTGAGGCTATGACAGCTTGTCTTGAGGCTATGACAGCTTGCCTTGAGGCTATGACAGCTTGCCTTGAGGCTATGACAGCTTGTCTTGAGGCTATGGCAGCTTGCCTTGAGGCTATGACAGCTTGTCTTGAGGCTATGACAGCTTGCCTTGAGGCTATGACAGCTTGCCTTGAGGCTATGACAGCTTGTCTTGAGGCTATGGCAGCTTGTCTTGAGGCTATGACAGCTTGCCTTGAGGCTATGACAGCTTGCCTTGAGGCTATGGCAGCTTGCCTTGAGGCTATGGCAGCTTGTCTTGAGGCTATGACAGCTTGCCTTGAGGCTATGACAGCTTGCCTTGAGGCTATGACAGCTTGCCTTGAGGCTATGACAGCTTGCCTTGAGGCTATGACAGCTTGCCTTGAGGCTATGACAGCTTGCCTTGAGGCTATGACAGCTTGCCTTGAGGCTATGACAGCTTGCCTTAAGGCTATGACAGCTTGTCTTGAGGCTATATGGCAGCTTGTCTTGAGGCTATGACAGCTTGCCTTGAGGCTATGACAGCTTGCCTTGAGGCTATGACAGCTTGCCTTGAGGCTATGACAGCTTGTCTTGAGGCTATGACAGCTTGCCTTGAGGCTATGACAACTTGTCTTGAGGCTATGACAGCTTGTCTTGAGGCTATGACAGCTTGTCTTGAGGCTATATGACAGCTTGCCTTGAGGCTATGACAGCTTGCCTTGAGGCATGTTGAGCATTTGGTGTCAGGCACATATTGGTCTAGAATGAAAAGATAACAGGTCCAGTGGTCTGGAAATATCAGCACACTTGTTTGTAGACAGTGTTCTTGTCTCCATGATTACTTCTTCTGTTTCTGAGAAATATTTTATCAAAGACTCATTGTTTGTATGTGCATGTGCTTATTCATTCATACATTTCTCTGCTAACATAGCACATGGGAACTGCCGTTGTGAAGTGGATCGGAAGGTCGTGGGTTCAGGTCACGATTTTCTCCATGGTTCTTTCTCTCAGTCCACCATTCCATCATTTGAAATGGCCTTTGACTTCCACACATAACATTGACCTTAGCTGTGAAGAAAGTTTTCAAACAACAACAAGTTATGAGACAGCCAATGTGTCATTGTGTTGTTGACTGGCTGGTGCTAGTCTTCCTGTTTCTGTGTGGAGCAGGGTTTGCCAGAGCAGGGTTTGCCAGACTTTTCAGGACACATGAACCAGATTTGTTTAGTCAGCATTTTTATTGCCCAGGCATTTCAGATATGATCAGCGTATTCATTCTGTTCTGAACATTAACTTTTGGAGACAGTACTCATATGTTCATTGAGTTTCTACAATGTTCCATACATAGCTTAATAATGATGATCAAAGGAATTCCATTGAACCGTCAAAAAAGACACCTGGCCTCAAGAGCAAAGTGTGCAGAGCAAGCTGTGGGGAACCATGAAGGACCTGCTGCTGACATGTGAGTTCATAGAAGCAACCCACCTGATGGTCTGATCTGAGCATACTAAACTTAACGCAAAGAAGAGGTACTGTCTGTGTACACCATTTAACTCTTTGTGAGAACGCAGTTTGACAATCCCTGTGTTTGTCTCCTCAGACTAGTCTCACTGTTGTCGGGCAAACATTTTAGTGAGGCTGAGGTGCAGGAAATTGAGAACTACATGAGGCAGGCTTTTAGGCTGGCTGAAATCTCTAGAGACAAGAAGCAGGTATTTGACACTTTATTGTGTGTTGATTTACTATGTATTTGACACTTTATTGTGTGTTGATTTACTATATATTTGACACTTTATTGTGTGTAGGTTTACAGAAGTCGCCATGAGTGCGCAATTTAAGTCACCGGAAGTTCACAATTGACACGTGACTGAGACCCTGTTAGGGTATATTTTCAGCCTCGATAATTTGGGACCGTTATTCGGAGGATAGCCAGATTTACTGTATATTTGACAGATTATTGTGTGTAGGTTTACTATATATTTGACATTTTATTGTGTGTAGATTTACTATATTTTTGACAGATTATTGTGTGTAGATTTACTATGTATTTGACACTTTATTGTGTAGATTTACTATATATTTGAAACTTTATTCTGTATAGATTTTCTATATATTTGACATTTTATTGTGTGTAGATTTACTAAATATTTGACAGTATATTGTGTATAGATTTACTATATATTTGACACTTTATTGTGTGTAAGTTTACTATATATTTGACAGATTATTGTGTGTAGGTTTACTATATATTTAACACTTTATTGTGCATAGATTTACCAAATATTTGACATATTTCTGTGCGTTGACTTAATATGCATTAGATAATTTTTCCCAATACAACATTTATTTGTCTAGGGTTGTTTTCCCCTGAAAATCATGATTCATTTTTTTAATAGCATTTTCTGTCTCATATTTCAAATGCAATCCTATAATTATGTATTTTATTTGGCAAATTCTCTCTTATTATCCAATAAAATGTATTTTCTGATCATCAGCATAAGCTGCTGTCCACTAGTCCACAGTCCTTCCACTTGTTACACCTTGTCTGTCTGTCCACAGTCCTTTCACTGGTTACACCTTGTCTGTCTGTCCACATTCCTTTCACTTGTTACACCTTTTCTGTCTGTCCACAGTCCGTTCACTTGTTACATCTTGGCTGTCTGTCCACAGTCCTTCCACTTGTTACACCTTGTCTGTCTGTCCACATTCCTTTCACTTGTTACACCTTGTGTCTGTCCACAGTCCTTCCACTTGTTACACCTTGTCTGTCTGTCCACATTCCTTTCACTTGTTACACCTTGTGTCTGTCCACAGTCCTTCCACTTGTTACACCTTGTCTATCTGTCCACAGTCCTTCCACTTGTTACACCTTGTCTGTCTGTCCACAGTCCTTTCACTTGTTACACCTTGTGTCTGTCCACAGTCCTTTCACTGGTTACACCTTGTCTATCTGTCCACAGTCCTTCCACTTGTTACACCTTGTCTGTCTGTCCACAGTTCTTTCACTTGTTACACCTTGTGTCTGTCCACAGTCCTTCCACTTGTTACACCTTGTTTGTCTGTCCACAGTCTTTTCACTTGTTACACCTTGTCTGTCTGTCCACAGTCCTTCCAATTGTTACACCTTGTGTCTGTCTGTCCACATTCCTTTCACTTGTTACACCTTGTGTCTGTCCACAGTCCTTCCACTTGTTACACCTTGTCTGTCTGTCCACAGTCCTTCCACTTGTTACACCTTGTCTGTCCACAGTCCTTCCAATTGTTACACCTTGTCTGTCCACAGTCCTTCCAATTGTTACACCTTGTCTGTCTGTCCACAGTCCTTCCAATTGTTACACCTTGTCTGTCCACAGTCCTTCCACTTGTTACACCTTGTCTGTCTGTCAACAGTCCTTCCACTTGTTACACCTTGTCTGTCTGTCCACAGTCCTTCCACTTGTTACACCTTGGCTGTCTGTCCACAGTCCTTCCACTTGTTACACTTTGTCTGTCTGTCCACATTCCTTTCACTTGTTACACCTTGTGTCTGTCCACAGTCCTTCCAATTGTTACACCTTGTCTGTCCACAGTCCTTCCAATTGTTACACCTTGTCTGTCTGTCCACAGTCCTTCCAATTGTTACACCTTGTCTGTCCACAGTCCTTCCAATTGTTACACCTTGTCTGTCTGTCCACAGTCCTTTCATTTGTTGCACCTTGTCTGTCTGTCCACAGTCCTTCCACTTGTTACACCTTGTCTCTATGTTGAGTCTTCATTTATTGAGCAAGGTTTTTTCCTTCTTGTTCTCGATGTTTTCACTGTCTTGATCACTGAGCCATTTCTCCTTAGCTTGCATGTCTTCTTGATTTCTCAGTTGCTTGTGTTCCCAGCTTTATTGTTTCCAGATGTTTGTGCTGCATCCAGTCCAAAAGTTTATTTACCGCTTTTAGTCACATTTTTGTGGCATAACTTGTGAGAATGAACTATCTCGACTCCCTCACTGGTCACTGATAAATACAAGTTCTAGGGCAGACAGCAAATGAAATAAGCTGCTTTTGATTGTTCTGTCATTCATATGTAGATGTTAACAGGTTTCCTTGAGTGTCTCTTTAACAACTATTTTGGTATTTATTTATATCAGATATATTCACCATTTATGAAATGTATTTGACTCTTCCTTTGCAAATCAAGTTGCCAGTTGGAGCGTTAGTTGTCAACCCTGTCACCAAAACGGTTGTAGCAGAGGCCTACGACCTGCGCCAGGCAGGCTACCCACTTCAACATGCAGTCATGGTAGCCATTGATTTAGTAGCACATTCTCAAGGCGGTGGCATGTGGAAGTTTGATGGTCAGTTCATATTTAGATCTTATTACATCTAACACCATTTTTTTTGTTTAAATCTCTGTGTGTACTGCTTGTAACAAACTGTTGAAGTCTTGATCATTTTCTTATTATTGACTTTCATATATTAATATTGTCTTCCCATTTATCTATTGATGTTCCCATTTATCAATTGATGTTCCCATTTATCTATTGATATTATCTTCCAGTTCATGTCTTGCTGTGAAAAATCTCATGGTATTACCTTCTTATTCATGGGACAGTAAAATCTCATTCCTCTCATGATATTTCCTTCCTATTCATGGGACAGTAAAATCTCATTCCTCTCATGGTATTACCTTCCTATTCATGGGACAGTAAAATCTCATTCATCTCATGTTTCCTTCCTATTCATGGGACAGTAAAATCTCATTCGTCCGTTGTTGTTATCTGTCCAGTTCAGAGTAGGAAATCTGTCATAACTTGTCCATATTTGATTGTACTCAATGCGACTATGAGCCGGCATGGTCTTCGCATAAAATCCTGCATCCATTTTTACTTTGTGTTTTGTTTCCCTACTGCTTTATTGATTTCACACTTCTGATCTATCATTCTGGTGATCATATGAGATGTTAAAACATACCCACCCTTGCTTATAGAGAGGGCACATGATGATATTAACTTTTACCTGACCTTTATCTGAACAGTATGATGAGAATATACAGAAGTCTGTATTAATTACAAGTACAAACAGGCGCACAGGTTTTATTGCTAAGGACACCTCTATTTTCAGATTCACATCCGAATCTAAAACATTCACTGCCCGGGGGATCTGGTGACACCAAGACAAAAGTGGAACCTTATCTGTGTACAGGATATGATTTGTATGTGACACAGGAACCGTGTGTGATGTACGTATGGACAGTTATTACACTTGTTATATTTGTATGTGACACAGGAACCATGTGTGATGTACGTATGGACAGTTATTACACTTGTTATATTTGTATGTGACACAGGAACCATGTGTGATGTACGTATGGACAGTTATTACACTTGTTATATTTGTATGTGACACAGGAACCGTGTGTGATGTACGTATGGACAGTTATTACACTTGTTATATTTGTATGTGACACAGGAACCATGTGTGATGTACGTATGGACAGTTATTACACTTGTTATATTTGTATGTGACACGGGAACCGTGTGTGATGTACGTATGGACAGTTATTACACTTGTTATATTTGTATGTGACACAGGAACCATGTGTGATGTACGTATGGACAGTTATTACACTTGTTATATTTGTATGTGACACAGGAACCGTGTGTGATGTACGTATGGACAGTTATTACACTTGTTATATTTGTATGTGACGCAGGAACCGTGTGTGATGTACGTATGGACAGTTATTACACTTGTTATATTTGTATGTGACGCAGGAACCATGTGTGATGTACGTATGGACAGTTTTTACACTTATTATATTTGTATGTGACGCAGGAACCATGTGTGATGTACATACAGACAGTTATTACACTTGTTATATTTGTATGTGATGCAGGAACCATGTGTGATGTACGTATGGACAGTTATTACACTTGTTATATTTGTATGTGACACAGGAACCATGTGTGATGTACGTATGGACAGTTATTACACTTGTTATATTTGTATGTGACACAGAAACCGTGTGTGATGTACGTATGGACAGTTATTACACTTGTTATATTTGTATGTGACGCAGTAACCGTGTGTGATGTACGTATGGACAGTTATTACACTTGTTATATTTGTATGTGACGCAGGAACCATGTGTGATGTACGTATGGACAGTTTTTACACTTATTATATTTGTATGTGACGCAGGAACCATGTGTGATGTACATACAGACAGTTATTACACTTGTTATATTTGTATGTGATGCAGGAACCATGTGTGATGTACGTATGGACAGTTATTACACTTGTTATATTTTTTTGTGACGCAGGAACCATGTGTGATGTACGTATGGACAGTTATTACACGTTATATTTGTATGTGACACAGGAACCATGTGTGATGTACGTATGGACAGTTTTTACACTTGTTATATTTGTATGTGATGCAGGAACCATGTGTGATGTACATATGGACAGTTATTACACTTGTTATATTTGTATTTACAAAATATAAAACAGCAACAACTTTATTTTGTTGATGATGAATGATCTAGTACTGCTCAGGTAACACCATGATCAGGTTTGTCTGGGGTCTGTTTTCAGCAGTTCCCTTGGGCACTTCACTAGTCTGACTTGCTGTGTTCTTAGAGATCTCAGCATCATCATTAGGTACCATACCAAGTATCCGACAGCTCAGTTCAGTCTTGGATTGGGTCTATCTTCTCTTGATTATTGTCTTCCCCTGCTCTAATCTCAAACAGTTTGCCAGATATCAATAATTTTCCAAGTTTATTTAACCCCAAAACACCTGGCGAGCGCTGTGTGCAGTCATAAGCTTATCTCATACAGTATGCACCACACAAGACTACAGCATGCACCACACAAGACTACAGTATGCACCACACAAGACTTCAGTATGCACCACACAAGACTTCAGTATGCACCACAAGACTTCAGTATGCACCACACAAGACTACAGCATGCACCACACAAGACTACAGTATGCACCACACAAGACTACAGTATGCACCATACAAGACTACAGTATACACCACACAAGACTACAGTATACACCACACAAGACTTCAGTATACACCACACAAGACTACAGTATACACCACACAAGACTACAGTATGCACCATACAAGTATACACCACACAAGACTACAGTATGCACCACACAAGACTACAGTATACACCACACAAGACTTCAGTATACACCACACAAGACTACAGCATACACCACACAAGACTTCAGTGTACACCACACAAGACTACAGTATACACCACACAAGACTTCAGTGGACACCACACAAGACTACAGTATACACCACACAAGACTTCAGTATACACTACACAAGACTACAGCATACACCACACAAGACTTCAGTATACACCACACAAGACTATAGCATACACCACACAAGACTACAGTATACACCACACAAGACTACAGTATACACCACACAAGACTACAGTATACACCACACAAGACTACAGCATACACCACACAAGACTACAGTATACACCACACAAGACTTCAGTATACACCACACAAGACTTCAGTATACACCACACAAGACTTCAGAATACACAGTTAGTTTGGAAAGATACGAGTAATAGACATACAAACTGAAAGATGGCTGGCCAGCAAGGGAAGAAGACACCTAGATGGCTAGACTTGATGGCTTCAGTGGGACAAAAACACAGAACTGATCCCAAAGCTCTGATATCTGTGGGATACAGCTAACCATCACCTGTCACTAGATACGAGGTGTGAGATCTCAGAGCTCTGATGACTGTGTGATACAGCTAACCATCACCTGTCACTAGATACTAGGTGTGAGATCCCAAAGCTCTGATGACTGTGTGATACAGCTAACCATCACCTGTCACTAGATACTAGGTGTGAGATCCCAAAGCTCTGATGACTGTGTGATACAGCTAACCATCACCTGTCACTAGATACTAGGTGTGGGATCCCAAAGCTCTGATGACTGTGTGATACAGCTAACCATCACCTGTCACTAGATACGAGGTGTGAGATCCCAAAGCTCTGATGACTGTGTGATACAGCTAACTATCACCTGTCACTAGATACGAGGTGTGAGATCCCAAAGCTCTGATGACTGTGTGATACAGCTAACCATCACCTGTCACTAGATACTAGGTGTGAGATCCCAGAGCTCTGATGACTGTGTGATACAGCTAACCATCACCTGTCACTAGATACTAGGTGTGAGATCCCAAAGCTCTGATGACTGTGTGATACAGCTAACCATCACCTGTCACTAGATACGAGGTGTGAGATCCCAAAGCTCTGATGACTGTGTGATACAGCTAACTATCACCTGTCACTAGATACGAGGTGTGAGATCCCAGAGCTCTGATGACTGTGTGATACAGCTAACTATCACCTGTCACTAGATACTAGGTGTGAGATCCCAAAGCTCTGATGACTGTGTGATACAGCTAACCATCACCTGTCACTAGATACTAGGTGTGAGATCCCAAAGCTCTGATGACTGTGTGATACAGCTAACCATCACCTGTCACTAGATACGAGGTGTGAGATCCCAGAGCTCTGATGACTGTGTGATACAGCTAACTATCACCTGTCACTAGATACTAGGTGTGAGATCCCAAAGCTCTGATGACTGTGTGATACAGCTAACCATCACCTGTCACTAGATACTAGGTGTGAGATCCCACAGCTCTGATGACTGTGTGATACAGCTAACCATCACCTGTCACTAGATACTAGGTGTGAGATCCCAAAGCTCTGATGACTGTGTGATACAGCTAACCATCACCTGTCACTAGATACGAGGTGTGAGATCCCAGAGCTCTGATGACTGTGTGATACAGCTAACCATCACCTGTCACTAGATACTAGGTGTGAGATCCCAAAGCTCTGATGACTGTGTGATACAGCTAACCATCACCTGTCACTAGATACTAGGTGTGAGATCCCAGAGCTCTGATGACTGTGTGATACAGCGAACCATCACCTGTCACTAGATACTAGGTGTGAGATTCCAAAGCTCTGATGACTGTGTGATACAGCGAACTATCACCTGTCACTAGATACGAGGTGTGAGATCCCAGAGCTCTGATGACTGTGTGATACAGCTAACCATCACCTGTCACTAGATACTAGGTGTGAGATCCCAAAGCTCTGATGACTGTGTGATACAGCTAACCATCACCTGTCACTAGATACTAGGTGTGAGATCCCAGAGCTCTGATGACTGTGTGATACAGCTAACCATCACCTGTCACTAGATATGAGGTGTGAGATCCCAAAGCTCTGATGACTGTGTGATACAGCTAACCATCACCTGTCACTAGATATGAGGTGTGAGATCCCAAAGCTCTGATGACTGTGTGATACAGCTAACCATCACCTGTCACTAGATACTAGGTGTGAGATCCCAAAGCTCTGATGACTGTGTGATACAGCGAACTATCACCTGTCACTAGATACTAGGTGTGAGATCCCAAAGCTCTGATGACTGTGTAATACAGCTAACCATCACCTGTCACTAGATACTAGGTGTGAGATCCCAAAGCTCTGATGACTGTGTGATACAGTGAACTATCACCTGTCACTAGATACTAGGTGTGAGATTCCAAAGCTCTGATGACTGTGGGAGACAGCTAACTATCACCTGTCACTAGATACTAGGTGTGAGATCCCAAAGCTCTGATGACTGTGGGATTCAGCGATGACTGTGTGATACAGTGAACTATCACCTGTCACTAGATACTAGGTGTGAGATCCCAAAGCTCTGATGACTGTGGGATTCAGCGATGACTGTGGGATACAGCGAACCATCACCTGTCACTAGATACTAGGTGTGAGATCCCAGAGCTCTGATGACTGTGTGATACAGCTAACCATCACCTGTCACTAGATACTAGGTGTGAGATCCCAAAGCTCTGATGACTGTGTGATACAGCTAACCATCACCTGTCACTAGATACTAGGTGTGAGATCCCAAAGCTCTGATGACTGTGTGATACAGCTAACCATCACCTGTCACTAGATACTAGGTGTGAGATCCCAGAGCTCTGATGACTGTGTGATACAGCTAACCATCACCTGTCACTAGATACTAGGTGTGAGATCCCAAAGCTCTGATGACTGTGTGATACAGCTAACCATCACCTGTCACTAGATACTAGGTGTGAGATCCCAAAGCTCTGATGACTGTGTGAGCTAACCAGCGAACCTGTCACTAGATACTAGGTGTGAGATCCCAAAGCTCTGATGACTGTGGGATTCAGCGATGACTGTGGGATACAGCGAACTGTCACTAGATACTAGGTGTGAGATCCCAAAGCTCTGATGACTGTGTGATACAGCGAACCATCACCTGTCTAGATACTAGGTGTGAGATCCCAGAGCTCTGATGACTGTGTGATACAGCTAACCATCACCTGTCACTAGATACTAGGTGTGAGATTCCAAAGCTCTGATGACTGTGTGATACAGCTAACCATCACCTGTCACTAGATACTAGGTGTGAGATCCCAAAGCTCTGATGACTGTGTGATACAGCGAACTATCACCTGTCACTAGATACTAGGTGTGAGATCCCAAAGCTCTGATGACTGTGTGATACAGCTAACCATCACCTGTCACTAGATACTAGGTGTGAGATCCCAGAGCTCTGATGACTGTGTGATACAGCTAACCATCACCTGTCACTAGATTCTAGGTGTGAGATCCCAAAGCTCTGATGACTGTGTGATACAGCTAACCATCACCTATCACTAGATACTAGGTGTGAGATCCCAAAGCTCTGATGACTGTGTGATACAGCGAACTATCACCTGTCACTAGATATGAGGTGTGAGATCCCAAAGCTCTGATGACTGTGGGATACAGCGAACTGTCACTAGATATGAGGTGTGAGATCCCAAAGCTCTGATGACTGTGGGATACAGCGAACTGTCACTAGATACTAGGTGTGAACTGTCACTAGATACTAGGTGTGAGATCCCAAAGCTCTGATGACTGTGTGATACAGCGAACTATCACCTGTCACTAGATACTAGGTGTGAGATCCCAAAGCTCTGATGACTGTGTGATACAGCGAACTATCACCTGTCACTAGATACTAGGTGTGAGATCCCAAAGCTCTGATGACTGTGTGATACAGCGAACCATCACCTGTCTAGATACTAGGTGTGAGATCCCAGAGCTCTGATGACTGTGTGATACAGCTAACCATCACCTGTCACTAGATACTAGGTGTGAGATCCCAAAGCTCTGATGACTGTGTGATACAGCTAACCATCACCTGTCACTAGATACTAGGTGTGAGATTCCAAAGCTCTGATGACTGTGTGATACAGCTAACCATCACCTGTCACTAGATACTAGGTGTGAGATTCCAAAGCTCTGATGACTGTGTGATACAGCGAACTATCACCTGTCACTAGATATGAGGTGTGAGATCCCAAAGCTCTGATGACTGTGTGATACAGCTAACCATCACCTGTCACTAGATACTAGGTGTGAGATTCCAAAGCTCTGATGACTGTGTGATACAGCGAACTATCACCTGTCACTAGATACGAGGTGTGAGATCCCAGAGCTCTGATGACTGTGTGATACAGCTAACCATCACCTGTCACTAGATACTAGGTGTGAGATCCCAGAGCTCTGATGACTGTGTGATACAGCGAACTATCACCTGTCACTAGATACTAGGTGTGAGATTCCAAAGCTCTGATGACTGTGTGATACAGCTAACCATCACCTGTCACTAGATATGAGGTGTGAGATCCCAGAGCTCTGATGACTGTGTGATACAGCGAACTATCACCTGTCACTAGATACTAGGTGTGAGATTCCAAAGCTCTGATGACTGTGTGATACAGCTAACCATCACCTGTCACTAGATATGAGGTGTGAGATCCCAAAGCTCTGATGACTGTGTGATACAGCTAACCATCACCTGTCACTAGATACTAGGTGTGAGATCCCAAAGCTCTGATGACTGTGTGATACAGCTAACCATCACCTGTCACTAGATACTAGGTGTGAGATCCCAAAGCTCTGATGACTGTGTGATACAGCTAACTATCACCTGTCACTAGATACTAGGTGTGAGATTCCAAAGCTCTGATGACTGTGTGATACAGCTAACCATCACCTGTCACTAGATACGAGGTGTGAGATCCCAAAGCTCTGATGACTGTGTGATACAGCTAACCATCACCTGTCACTAGATACTAGGTGTGAGATCCCAAAGCTCTGATGACTGTGTGATACAGCGAACTATCACCTGTCACTAGATACTAGGTGTGAGAATCCAGAGCTCTGATGACTGTGTGATACAGCTAACCATCACCTGTCACTAGATACTAGGTGTGAGATTCCAAAGCTCTGATGACTGTGTGATACAGCTAACCATCACCTGTCACTAGATATGAGGTGTGAGATCCCAAAGCTCTGATGACTGTTGGGAAACAGCGAACTGTCACTAGATACGAGGTGTGATCAAATGAAATCAGTCTCAGTGGCTTTATTATAAGTATATGAATAGTATAGTAACAATAAGTAAATGAAGCATCTGTTTGGAAGCAAACATACACCTGGGGGGGGGGGGGGGCATTCAGACATAGATCACATTGTTTTGAGTTATTAGCCTGAAAACACTCGGAGACGTACTCAGGAGGAGATCAAAGCACTTATGGTCGTGCCTGATATGCCATGGAAGATGATCTTGAAATGAACAGTGAACAATAGAGAGGCAATGAATACTGACCATGAAGGACTTTAGTTGCTGACCGAACCATTTGGTTACTGCTGTCATCACATCTCTCTTGATATTGTCAAACACCACTGTTGAGACCCCTCATGAAGAAATCAAACCCCACAGTTGAGACCCCTCATAAAGAGACCAAACACCACTGTTGAGACCCCTCATGAAGAAACCAAACACCACTGTTGAGACCCCTCATGAATAAACCAAACCCCACTGTTGAGAACCCTCATGAATAAACCAAACACCACTGTTGAGACCCCTCATGAAGAAACCAACCCCACTGTTGAGACCCCTCATGAAGAAACCAAACACCACTGTTGAGACCCCTCATGAAGAAACCAAACACCACTGTTGAGACCCCTCATGAAGAAACCAAACACCACTGTTGAGACCCCTCATGAAGAGACCAAACACCACTTTTGAGACTCCTCATGAAGAAACCAAACACTACTGTTGAGACCCCTCATGAAGAAACCAAACACCACCGTTGAGACCCCTCATGAAGAAACCAAACACCACTGTTGAGACCCCTCATGAAGAAACCAAACCCCACTGTTGAGACCCCTCATGAAGAAACCAAACCCCACTGTTGAGACCCCTCATGAAGAACCAAACACCACTGTTGAGACCCCTCATGAAGAAACCAAACACCACTGTTGAGACCCCTCATGAAGAAACCAAACACCACTGTTGAGACCCCTCATGAAGAAACCAACCCCACTGTTGAGACCCCTCATGAAGAAACCAAACCCCACTGTTGAGACCCCTCATGAAGAAACCAAACACCACAGTTGAGACCCCTCATGAAGAGACCAAACACCACTGTTGAGACCCCTCATGAAGAGACCAAACACCACTGTTGAGACCCCTCATGAAGAGACCAAACACCACTGTTGAGACCCTCATGAAGAGACCAAACACCACTTTTGAGACCCTCATGAAGAAACCAAACACCACTGTTGAGACCCCTCATGAAGAAACCAAACACCACTTTTGAGACCCCTCATGAAGAAACCAAACCCCACTGTTGAGACCCCTCATGAAGAAACCAAACACCACTGTTGAGACCCCTCATGAAGAAACCAAACACCACTGTTGAGACCCCTCATGAAGAAACCAAACACCACTGTTGAGACCCCTCATGAAGAAACCAAACCCCACTGTTGAGACCCCTCATGAAGAAACCAAACACCACTGTTGAGACCCCTCATGAAGAAACCAAACCCCACAGTTGAGACCCCTCATGAAGAAACCAAACACCACAGTTGAGACCCCTCATGAAGAAACCAAACACCACAGTTGAGACCCCTCATGAAGAAACCAAACACCACTTTTGAGACCCCTCATGAAGAAACCAAACCCCACTGTTGAGACCCTCATGAAGAAACCAAACACCACTTTTGAGACTCCTCATGAAGAAACCAAACACCACTGTTGAGACCCTCATGAAGAAACCAAACCCCACTGTTGAGACCCCTCATGAAGAAACCAAACACCACTGTTGAGACCCCTCATGAAGAAACCAAACCCCACTGTTGAGACCCCTCACGAAGAAATCAAACACCACAGTTGAGACCCCTCATGAAGAAACCAAACACCACTGTTGAGACCCCTCATGGAGAAACCAATCTAAGACCCCCACAACAGGAACCCCGTGTGCATGCTCTCCATTGCTAAATCATCCATATGTATGGCTGTGTCTTTGTGGCTCTCTTTTGTCAAATGTCATTCATTTATTTTATATAGTTTAAAATAAAATTATTATGGTTTTTTTTATTTCTTCTGGCACCAGGTGCAGCATGGCATTGGTACATTCCAGAATTGGGCGTGTGTTTTACGGGTCGTCACAGCGTGACGGGGCACTGGGGTCACATTATAAGATACACTGTCAGCCAGGTCTGAACCACCATTACAGTGTCTTCAAGGGCTGTCTGCAGACACAGACTGATCAGTTGTACCAGGAGAGATAACACTTCATGTTTGTGGGATAGATCATGTTGCTGTATGGTTCCGTGGAGGAGATATATGAACCAGTTGGTGGATGAGAGGTAAACCAGTTGGTGGATGAGAGGTAAACCAGTTGGTGGATGAGAGGTAAACCAATTGGTGCATGAGAGGTAAACCAGTTGGTGGATGATATAACAGTGCATCCATCTAGTGCAAGAGATAAAGCCACATGGTTCAGCAGAAGGGATAAAGCAGTATGATTCAGCGGCAGAGATAAAGCAGTATGGTTCAGCGGCAGAGATAAAGCTGTATGGTTCAGCCGCAGAGATAAAGCTGTATGGTTCAGCGGCAGAGATAAAGCAGTATGGTTCAGCGGCAGAGATAAAGCTGTATGGTTCAGCGGCAGAGATAAAGCAGTATGGTTCAGCGGCAGAGATAAAGCTGTATGGTTGAGTAGAAGAAAAATAACACCACTGCTTGCAGTCCTATACTGCACCACCACTTGCGTGGAGAGAGTACAATAAAAAAAAAAAAAAACGTAACAGAGGTGAAATAATCAATAAAACAATAGGAGCATGTGATCTGAAGGAGGTGATGTTCCTAATGGATTTGTCTACAAACAGCAATGATACAGAAATACTTAACATTATGCTGTGTCAACAAATAGCAATAATAGTAATAAACATTAGTACATGACATTGCTTATCACTTTGAGATCATTAAATATGGTGACAAGAACCTATCATGTGATTTTGACATTGTATTTCTCAGTTTTTGTCATCTGAACCTTTTCTATGAAAAGAGTGAAACACTTTAAAAAAAAAAAAAGTTCTTTACAACTGCAAATGAAAACGCTGGAATTGTTGGGTTAATTTCCAGGAACTAATGCTATGACTTAGGGATCACCGAATACATTTCTGTGTAAAGTAAAAATGATGCATCAAAACGGCAAACACCAGACTATAAGTGGACAAGAATCAGACAAACCAGAAACATCGTTTACATACACAAATGGTTTTATAGAATAATGTCGGTCAAAGTTATGCTATGATGAAATCAACACGTGACATCATGGAAAAACTGTCTGCTAGCACCATTTACTCTGGTTTCTGTAATAGACTTGTCTTGAGGCTACCCTATTCTCTCATGTCAGTATGTGTGTTCGTCTCCACGCCGGTATCACTATGTGGGTCTGCCTTGCACGTTGATGTCACTGTGTCTGCTCCACTGGGGACTGCTCTGTATGTCACACCCTTTGATCACAGTTTAGAGAACACTGGCTTCCCCTTCTGTATTGCAGCTTCAATGGCCTTCACCACATCCTCCGACTGCAGCATGGCGGAGTTCCAGGTGGCCTGGTGGCAGACGCAGATGTGTCATCACAAATGTAATAGTATCAGTGACAGTGTACACATTCATAAGGTGAACAGAATAAATAACAACTTCACAGCTTCACAAGTATACAATAACAAGACAGAATACTTGTGGCTGGAAAGCTTTCATTAACAAAAAGACACTAATATATATATATATATATATGCATATACTAAACTGTTGTTTGATAATGCTGGCTTATGGCCATATCTGTATCTTCGCTTATCTCACACATACACCACCTGCACAGACTGCATGTATATGTACAGTTTTACCTTATGTGCACCAATTTAACAGTTGGTTAAATTACTGCAGGTATCCTAATTTAACTTATAACTACACTAATTCAGGAACTGCAAACATTGAAACTAAACATTTATTAGTTTGATAAATATGTAAACCCCAAAAATCATAAACAACACCGCCAGAAGCAGCAATCTCATGTAGGGGCCCTAAAGCCTAGATAAAAAGGGTACTTGACAAGACAAGAGTCAACATCCCATATCATGAGCGGAGACAAGAAAGCTTGGAACTATCAATGAGCAGAGACAGGAAAGCTTGGAACTATCAATGAGTAGAGACAAGAAAGCTTGGAACTATCAATGAGTAGAGACAAGAAAGCTTGGAACTATCAATGAGTAGAGACAAGAAAGCTTGGAACTATCAATGAGTAGAGACAAGAAAGCTTGGAACTATCAATGAGCAGAGACAAGAACACTTGGAACTATCAATGAGCAGAGACAGGAAAGCTTGGAACTATCAATGAGTAGAGACAGGAAAGCCTGGAACTATCAATGAGCAGAGACAAGAAAGCTTGGAACTATCAATGAGTAGAGACAAGAAAGCTTGGAACTATCAATGAGTAGAGACAAGAAAGCTTGGAACTATCAATGAGTAGAGACAAGAAAGCTTGGAACTATCAATGAGCAGAGACAAGAACACTTGGAACTATCAATGAGCAGAGACAGGAAAGCTTGGAACTATCAATGAGCAGAGACAGGAAAGCCTGGAACTATCAATGAGCAGAGACAAGAAAGCTTGGAACTATTAATGAGCAGAGACAGGAAAGCTTGGAACTATCAATGAGCAGAGACAAGAAAGCTTGGAACTATCAATGAGCAGAGACAGGAAAGCTTGGAACTATCAATGAGCATATGCCTGTGACGACAAGGATGACCTCAGACCACATAAACCCACAGAAAATCAACAACAACAGACCAGAAATATAAAAACTCACCATGTAATCCAAACTCCCTGCAACACTGTGGTCTCTAGAATATATAATATTATTTTTCGATCCTTGAACAGCAACTGGACTTTTTGATGCAATCGTTTTAGCCAGTTCCAAAGCTGATGTCAACAGTTCATCTTTGTCCAGCAGGACTCGACTGAAAGACCATGAAAACCATGTGTTACATTGTGCAGGTTACATGTGTGTGCATTTTTTGTTCAGCACAATTTGTACTGTTGTAAGCAGGTCAAACATTGACAACAACAAGCAGAAACATTTCCTGGCAGCAGACCTATGGCTTCTGGGGAACAGACACGGGTCCTTCAAGAGGCAGTTTCTGATTACAAGAACTTAGTCAAGATCTTCATAACACGTAATGAAGTATCTGAGAATTTAGTATGTGACAACCTGCCACAACTGTCATAAAAGTTTGGGTGGCTGGAGTTTGCCATCTGACACCATCAACAGTCTCAAATCTGATACATATGTCAACATGCCACAACTGTCATATAAGTTTGGGTGGTTGGAGTTTGCCATCTGATACCATCAACAGTCTCCAATCTGATCTATGTTCTAGTCCCAATCAGTGAAGCCATCATTGTATTTGCCTCTGTCATCACCTTGCTCTTTATTTCACTGTTTGCCACTTTGTGTCCACAAAATCTTGATTATGTCAAATTTCACCAATCACTTAATGATTGTCATCTGTTTTGTCAAAGACTTCTTCATTCATTTTTCTATCCATCTGTAGAATTCTTTACATTTTCTTCAGAAACCACTTTTCTGTTGCCATTAGTTTTCTCAGCTTGTCTACTTACTGTTCCTGTTTAACAAGCCTATCAAAGTATTTTTTTTTTCAAGTGCACTTTAACTCTTTTTCTCACTTCAGCAGAGCAACAGAATAATACAGCCGAATTTAAAAAAAAAAATAGAATACAGGCAAGGACAAACTACATACTTGTGGGATGTCAGACTTACAAGTTACTGAGTAGATCAAGGCTATGCAATTGGTGGTCCACAGAGGCTTATTAAGTGGCCGGCGGATCATTGGCAGGATATTGTATTAATGATCTTTCTATGCAGGCTCTCTGGCCTGCGGCCCATGACGATCCCCGTTTTAGAATTGTTGGTCCCTGATTAAACAGTTAAATAGCCGTTGTAGCTGATAGCAGCTGGGCAGACATACAGCCCTGTCGTGCTGATAACAGCTGGGAAAAACATACAGGAGAGCGGAGCACCCAGGGTCCTGTGTGGAGTGCAATGGTGATCTTGTGGAATGAACTAGACAATAGTACGGTGAATCTAATTATGTACATAGCGCTGTCCACAAAACGTGTGGACAACAAAGATACATCTTCAGATTGCTTCTAATACAAATGATAAATCTATGGAGTTGGACTTTAATCTGAACATATTCAATTTAGTCACATCTCACAGCCTCAGACACAGAAAGAAGAGATGACATTGGAAAGACTAATGTAGAGTTTGTTCTATAGAAGATGCAGGTAAGGCTACAAAGAAGACACATACATAGTTGAAAAAATATGTGCAGCTAAACATTCTCATCTCATTACCAGCACAGATATAAACATTCTCATCTCATTACCAGCACAGAGATAAACATTCTCATGTCATTACCAGGACAGAGATAAACATTCTCATCTCATTACCAGCACAGAGATAAACATTCTCATCTCATTATCAGCACAAAGATAAACATTCTCATCTCATTACCAGCATAGAGATAAACATTCTCATGTCATTACCAGCACAGATATAAACATTCTCATCTCATTACCAGCACAGAGATAAACATTCTCATCTCATTACCAGCACAGAGATAAACATTCTCATCTATTTACCAGCACAGAGATAAACATTCTCATCTCATTACCAGCACAGAGATAAACATTCTCATCTCATTACCAGCACAGAGATAAACATTCTCATCTCATTACCAGCACAGATATAAACATTCTCATCTCGTTACCAGCACAGAGATAAACATTCTCATGTCAATACCAGCACAGAGATAAACATTCTCATCTTGGTACCAGCACAGAGATAAACATTCTCATCTCATTAACAGCACAGAGATAAACATTCTCATCTCGTTACCAGCACAGAGATAAACATTCTAATCTATTTACCAGCACAGAGATAAACATTCTCATCTCATTACCAGCACAGAGATAAACATTCTAATCTATTTACCAGCACAGAGATAAACATTCTCATCTCGTTACCAGCACAGAGATAAACATTCTCATCTCGTTACCAGCACAGAGATAAACATTCTCATCTTATTATCAGCACAGAGATAAACATTCTCATCTATTTACCAGCACAGAGATAAACATTCTCATCTCATTACCAGCACAGAGATAAACATTCTCATCTCATTACCAGCACAGAGATAAACATTCTCATCTCATTACCAGCACAGAGATAAACATTCTTATCTATTTACCAGCACAGATATAAACATTCTCATCTCATTACCAGCACAGAGATAAACATTATCATCTCATTACCAGCACAGAGATAAACATTCTTATCTATTTACCAGCACAGATATAAACATTCTCATCTCATTACCAGCACAGAGATAAACATGCACATCTGGTTATCGGCACAGACAAACATGCACATCTGGTTACAATGAGAACACTCAAATAAAACTACCTCACAAATCCCAAAGATTTGGCCTCGTCAGAGAGGAACTTTCTGCCGGTGTAGGCTAATTCACGAAAGGTGCTATCATTGCCGATAATTTTTTGAAATCGCTGAAGTGTACCCACATCTGCTGCTAGGCCAAGGTCTACTTCCTGAAAATAAACTAGTTTCATTTATACAACAACAGACTAGTTTCTCTCATTTATACAACAACAAACTAGTTTCTCTCATTTATACAACAACAAACTAGTTTCTCTCATTTATACAACAACAAGATAGTTTCTCTCATTTATACAACAACAAACTAGTTTCTCTCATTTATACAACAACAAACTAGTTTCTCTCATTTATACAACAACAAGCTAGTTTCTCTCATTTATACAACAACAAACTAGTTTCTCTCATTTATACAACAACAAACTAGTTTCTCTCATTTATACAACAACAAGCTAGTTTCTCTCATTTATACAACAACAAGCTAGTTTCTCTCATTTATACAACAACAAACTAGTTTCTCTCATTTATACAACAACAAACTAGTTTCTCTCATTTATACAACAACAAGATAGTTTCTCTCATTTATACAACAACAAACTAGTTTCTCTCATTTATACAACAACAAACTAGTTTCTCTCATTTATACAACAACAAGCTAGTTTCTCTCATTTATACAACAACAAACTAGTTTCTCTCATTTATACAACAACAAACTAGTTTCTCTCATTTATACAACAACAAACTAGTTTCTCTCATTTATACAACAACAAGATAGTTTCTCTCATTTATACAACAACAAACTAGTTTCTCTCATTTATACAACAACAAACTAGTTTCTCTCATTTATACAACAACAAGCTAGTTTCTCTCATTTATACAACAACAAACTAGTTTCTCTCATTTATACAACAACAAACTAGTTTCTCTCATTTATACAACAACAAACTAGTTTCTCTCATTTATACAACAAACTAGTTTCTCTCATTTATACAACAACAAACTAGTTTCTCTCATTAATACAACAACAAACTAGTTTCTCCTATTTATACAACAACAAACTAGTTTCTCTCATTTATACAACAAGATAGTTTCTCTCATTTATACAACAACAAACTAGTTTCTCTCATTTATACAACAACAAACTAGTTTCTCTCATTTATACAACAACAAGCTAGTTTCTCTCATTTATACAACAACAAACTAGTTTCTCTCATTTATACAACAACAAACTAGTTTCTCTCATTTATACAACAACAAACTAGTTTCTCTCATTTATACAACAAACTAGTTTCCCTCATTTATACAACAACAAACTAGTTTCTCTCATTTATACAACAAACTAGTTTCTCTCATTTATACAACAAACAAGTTTCTCTCATTTATACAACAACAAACTAGTTTCACTCATTTATACAACAAACTAGTTTCTCTCATTTATACAACAAACTAGTTTCTCTCATTTATACAACAACAAACTAGTTTCTCTCATTTATACAACAACAAACTAGTTTCTCTCATTTATACAACAAACTAGTTTCTCTCATTTATACAACAACAAACTAGTTTCTCTCATTAATACAACAACAAACTAGTTTCTCTTATTTATACAACAACAAACTAGTTTCTCTTATTTATACAACAACAAACTAGTTTCTCTCATTTATACAACAACAAACTAGTTTCTCTCATTTATACAACAACAAACTAGTTTCTCTCATTTATACAACAAACTAGTTTCTCTCATTTATACAACAACAAACTAGTTTCTCTCATTAATACAACAACAAACTAGTTTCTCCTATTTATACAACAACAAACAAGTTTCTCTTATTTATACAACAACAAACTAGTTTCTCTCATTTATACAACAACAAACTAGTTTCTCTCATTTATACAACAACAAACTAGTTTCTCTCATTTATACAACAACAAACTAGTTTCTCTTATTTATACAACAACAAACTAGTTTCTCTTATTTATACAACAACAAACTAGTTTCTCTCATTTATACAACAACAAACTAGTTTCTCTCATTTATACAACAAACTAGTTTCCCTCATTTATACAACAACAAACTAGTTTCTCTCATATATACAACAAACTAGTTTCTCTCATTTATACAACAAACAAGTTTCTCTCATTTATACAACAACAAACTAGTTTCACTCATTTATACAACAAACTAGTTTCTCTCATTTATACAACAACAAGCTAGTTTCTCTCATTTATACAACAACAAACTAGTTTCTCTCATTTATACAACAACAAACTAGTTTCTCTCATTTATACAACAACAAACTAGTTTCTCTCATTTATACAACAAACTAGTTTCCCTCATTTATACAACAACAAACTAGTTTCTCTCATTTATACAACAAACTAGTTTCTCTCATTTATACAACAAACAAGTTTCTCTCATTTATACAACAACAAACTAGTTTCACTCATTTATACAACAAACTAGTTTCTCTCATTTATACAACAAACTAGTTTCTCTCATTTATACAACAACAAACTAGTTTCTCTCATTAATACAACAACAAACTAGTTTCTCCTATTTATACAACAACAAACTAGTTTCTCTTATTTATACAACAACAAACTAGTTTCTCTCATTTATACAACAACAAACTAGTTTCTCTCATTTATACAACAACAAACTAGTTTCTCTCATTTATACAACAACAAACTAGTTTCTCTTATTTATACAACAACAAACTAGTTTCTCTTATTTATACAACAACAAACTAGTTTCTCTCATTTATACAACAACAAACTAGTTTCTCTCATTTATACAACAAACTAGTTTCTCTCATTTATACAACAACAAACTAGTTTCTCTCATCAATACAACAACAAACTAGTTTCTCTTATTTATACAACAACAAACTAGTTTCTCTCATTTATACAACAACAAACTAGTTTCTCTCATTTATACAACAACAAACTAGTTTCTCTCATTTATACAACAACAAACTAGTTTCTCTCATTTATACAACAAACTAGTTTCTCTCATTTATACAACAACAAACTAGTTTCTCTCATTAATACAACAACAAACTAGTTTCTCCTATTTATACAACAACAAACTAGTTTCTCTTATTTATACAACAACAAACTAGTTTCTCTCATTTATACAACAACAAACTAGTTTCTCTCATTTATACAACAACAAACTAGTTTCTCTCATTTATACAACAACAAACTAGTTTCTCTTATTTATACAACAACAAACTAGTTTCTCTTATTTATACAACAACAAACTAGTTTCTCTCATTTATACAACAACAAACTAGTTTCTCTCATTTATACAACAACAAACTAGTTTCTTTCATTTATACAACAACAAGCTAGTTTCTCTCATTTATACAACAACAAATCAACTTCAAGCATCAAATATACATCACTTATCCACAACATTTTGTCCAGCTCCCATCGTATGCCAGATAGTAACAGTCTTTTTTTGCCCCACTCACATTATAAGTGTCAGTCAATGTTTAACAATAATACATCCCAATTCACACAGTGTAATCCATTTGGATAACCCTTTATGAATCGTCTGGGCTGCAAATAAAATAGTAACACATTTTGGTAAAATGTTTTCGATATTGCTGATGTAACTTACCAGAGTCTGTAGCCTGAGTCTCAGACATCTGATATACCAGAGTCTGTAGCCTGAGTCTCAGACATTTGACCTACCAGAGTCTGTAGCCCGAGTCTCAGACATCTGACATACCAGAGTCTGTAGCCCGAGTCTCAGACATCTCACCTACCAGAGTCTGTAGCCCGAGTCTCAGACACCTGACATACCAGAGTCTGTAGCCCGAGTCTCAGAAATCTGACATACCAGAGTCTGTAGCCCGAGTCTCAGACATCTGACCTACCAGAGTCAGCAGACTTGGCCTAGTTAACATGATATATAAAGTCAACAGACTGACCTATGTGACACGTCACCGAGTCAGCTGACTTGACTTATTTTATAGGTCATATGATATATCAGAGTCAGCAGACTGATTTTTGCTGATACACCATATCAGAGTCAGCAGGCTTGACTTATTTGTCATGTTGTATCAGAATCTGTAGTGACTTTTGACAAATACAGGTAACTATAAATGTCTGGATTTGTTGTGAAATACAATGGATATTTTATAAGTATCTATGAATCTACAACCTTGATCTGGAACCAGGCATCCTGGGTGCAGTAGCGGATGTCGCAGGCAGAGATCATGTCAATGCCACCTCCAATACAGGCACTGTGGACGGCTGCAATCACAGGCTTGGGGCACTGTTAGGGAGAGAGGGCACATTATGGAGTTTATAGTCATTGACACTCACAAACACTGCCCCAGTGAAAGCAGTGCAAACTTCAGGAAGCTTCCAGAAACCTTCAAGTCAATAAGCCTATTGCCTTTCCCAGGGGCTCTGCAGCCATTCCAGCAACAAAAATCAAATTAGTTTAAAATTAGGAAACAAAAAATAGAATAATCTGCCACTAGCTCCAAAATTATTGACACACTCTTTGACAGGGTTGCTTCGAGCAGAGTGGCAAACTTTACTTTGAAAGTCAAGGGTAGTGAGCATACTTTGGATCTTTTCTCCAGGCTATGCCGGCGTGGTGGGGAATGAAAAGGCAGACAGATTGGCTGGATCCGCACCACTGGGTGCTGAATTGAGACATGAATAGACAGATGTGGTCAAGGCCCTTTGGGAACAAGCAACAGAGTCAGAAGATTAACTGGATTATTATGGCTTGGAGAGAATGAGTCACCTGGGTGTAACCAGAGGGTCTGGACAGGGTGTAACCAGAGGGTCTGGACAGGGTGTAACCAGAGGGTCTGGACAGGGTGTAACCAGAGGGTCTGGACAGGGTGTAACCAGAGGGTCTGGACAGGGTGTAACCAGAGGGTCTGGACAGCTCACCACACTCAGAGGGTCTGGACAGCTCACCACACTCGGAGGGTCTGGACAGCTCACCACACTCGGAGGGTCTGGACAGCTCACCACACTCGGAGGGTCTGGACAGCTCACCACACTCGGAGGGTCTGGACAGCTCACCACACTCGGAGGGTCTGGACAGCTCACCACACTCGGAGGGTCTGGACAGCTCACCACACTCGGAGGGTCTGGACAGCTCACCACACTCGGAGGGTCTGGACAGCTCACCACACTCGGAGGGTCTGGACAGCTCACCACACTCGGAGGGTCTGGACAGCTCACTACACTCAGAGGGTCTGGACAGCTCACCACACTCGGAGGGTCTGGACAGCTCACCACACTCAGAGGGTCTGGACAGCTCACCACACTCAGAGGGTCTGGACAGCTCACCACACTCAGAGGGTCTGGACAGCTCACCACACTCAGAGGGTCTGGACAGCTCACCACACTCAGAGGGTCTGGACAGCTCACTACACTCAGAGGGTCTGGACAGCTCACCACACTCAGAGGGTCTGGACAGCTCACCACACTCAGAGGGTCTGGACAGCTCACCACACTCAGAGGGTCTGGACAGCTCACTACACTCAGAGGGTCTGGACAGCTCACCACACTCAGAGGGTCTGGACAGCTCACCACACTCAGAGGGTCTGGACAGCTCACCACACTCAGAGGGTCTGGACAGCTCACCACACTCAGAGGGTCTGGACAGCTCACCACACTCAGAGGGTCTGGACAGCTCACCACACTCAGAGGGTCTGGACAGCTCACCACACTCAGAGGGTCTGGACAGCTCACCACACTCAGAGGGTCTGGACAGCTCACTACACTCAGAGGGTCTGGACAGCTCACCACACTCAGAGGGTCTGGACAGCTCACGACACTCAGAGGGTCTGGACAGCTCACCACACTCGGAGGGTCTGGACAGCTCACCACACTCGGAGGGTCTGGACAGCTCACCACACTCGGAGGGTCTGGACAGCTCACCACACTCGGAGGGTCTGGACAGCTCACCACACTCGGAGGGTCTGGACAGCTCACCACACTCGGAGGGTCTGGACAGCTCACCACACTCGGAGGGTCTGGACAGCTCACCACACTCGGAGGGTCTGGACAGCTCACCACACTCGGAGGGTCTGGACAGCTCACTACACTCAGAGGGTCTGGACAGCTCACCACACTCGGAGGGTCTGGACAGCTCACCACACTCAGAGGGTCTGGACAGCTCACCACACTCAGAGGGTCTGGACAGCTCACCACACTCAGAGGGTCTGGACAGCTCACCACACTCAGAGGGTCTGGACAGCTCACCACACTCAGAGGGTCTGGACAGCTCACTACACTCAGAGGGTCTGGACAGCTCACCACACTCAGAGGGTCTGGACAGCTCACCACACTCAGAGGGTCTGGACAGCTCACCACACTCAGAGGGTCTGGACAGCTCACTACACTCAGAGGGTCTGGACAGCTCACCACACTCAGAGGGTCTGGACAGCTCACCACACTCAGAGGGTCTGGACAGCTCACCACACTCAGAGGGTCTGGACAGCTCACCACACTCAGAGGGTCTGGACAGCTCACCACACTCAGAGGGTCTGGACAGCTCACCACACTCAGAGGGTCTGGACAGCTCACCACACTCAGAGGGTCTGGACAGCTCACCACACTCAGAGGGTCTGGACAGCTCACCACACTCAGAGGGTCTGGACAGCTCACCACACTCAGAGGGTCTGGACAGCTCACTACACTCAGAGGGTCTGGACAGCTCACCACACTCAGAGGGTCTGGACAGCTCACGACACTCAGAGGGTCTGGACAGCTCACCACACTCGGAGGGTCTGGACGGCTCACTACACTCAGAGGGTCTGGACAGCTCACCACACTCGGAGGGTCTGGCCAGCTCACCACACTCGGAGGGTCTGGACAGCTCACCACACTCGGAGGGTCTGGACAGCTCACCACACTCGGAGGGTCTGGCCAGCTCACCACACTCGGAGGGTCTGGCCAGCTCATCACACTCGGAGGGTCTGGACGGCTCACCACACTCGGAGGGTCTGGACAGCTCACCACACTCGGAAGGTCTGGACAGCTCACCACACTCAGAGGGTCTGGACAGCTCACCACACTCGGAGGGTCTGGACAGCTCACCACACTCGGAGGGTCTGGACAGCTCACCACACTCAGAGGGTCTGGACAGCTCACCACACTCGGAGGGTCTGGACAGCTCACCACACTCGGATGGTCTGGACAGCTCTCCACACTCGGAGGGTCTGGACAGCTCACCACACTCAGAGGGTCTGGACAGCTCACCACACTCGGAGGGTCTGGACAGCTCACCACACTCGGAGGGTCTGGACAGCTCACCACACTCGGAGGGTCTGGACAGCTCACCACACTCGGAGGGTCTGGACAGCTCACCACACTCGGAGGGTCTGGACAGCTCACTACACTCAGAGGGTCTGGACAGCTCACCACACTCGGAGGAAAGACAAGACGGACATATAATCAGACTATGACCAGTACCATTAGTATTGGAACTCTGCGCTGGCTGCTAAAGATGGGGACGGAGCATGCATGGGAGTGCTATGATGTAAATTCTTGACTCAACTCTACTGACACACTCTATGTCATGTGCCCTTCCTGGAACTGCATGTCTTGAGTTATATGTAACAGTTTCTCGCTGATTCTCAGAACTTCAAGAATTCCTGGAATCCACTGGCATCATATATGCTGAGGATGACTAGTAGATGTGGGGTCAGTCCTGGCCCACATATAAGCTGAGGATGACTAGTAGAACTGGGGTCAGTCCTGGCCCACATATAAGCTGAGGATGACTAGTAGAACTGGGGTCAGTCCTGGCCCATATATAAGCTGAGGATGACTAGTAGATGTGGAGTCAGTCCTGGCCCACATATAAGCTGAGGATGACTAGTAGAACTGGGGTCAGTCCTGGCCCACATATAAGCTGAGGATGACTAGTAGAACTGGGGTCAGTCCTGGCCCACATATAAGCTGAGGATGACTAGTAGAACTGGGGTCAGTCCTGGCCCACATATAAGCTGAGGATGACTAGTAGATGTGGAGTCAGTCTTGACCCACATATAAGCTGAGGATGACTAATAGATGTGGAGTCAGTCCTGACCTACATATAAGCTGAGGATGACTAGTAGATGTGGAGTCAGTCTTGACCCGCACATGACTGAGTGACACCTGGCTGGAGTAACCGTAACCGATGTCCTAATTATCACTTTTTTAGAGGTTGAACAGGGGTCTTCGATCTGGCCTGTTCATCTGCCATCCAGACCGATATTTCGTTTTTATGTCAGGGTGGTAAACTTTCAGGTAATTTTCCAGAGAAGACAAACTGATCAACCAAATAACTTCATAGTGCATTTTTATAGTGATTACATTGTGATTTCTAGCGATTCTTTTGTCAGTTTCTTATGTGTCTGACCTTTTTTGTGATTGTTTAATTTGGTTACATTATTCATTATTTAGTAACATAGTTGTGCTTCAGTTATTTACTGAACATTACATTACTAATTGGCACATGTGCAGTAAATATAAACTATTAATTACTGAGCGGCGTCTGTGGCTTAGGTATTGCGAGCCCTACTCATAATTCCAACACACCGCGATCGAAATCCACTGCTGGCTGCGTGGATTTTTATCATGGTATGTGGCGTCCCAGTTCGACCCTGCCTAAAATGGGTACCAGGATGTATGTCCTGGGAAAGTAAAGACAGCCTGCGTAGTGATGACCACATTACCCACCTAGTGCCGATTGGTCTGTAAACATATGGGCGCTCTTCCCATATACTCGATACGCCTAAAAGGTGTGAAGAGGGATCTTTAATTTTACTAGTTCCTGACTTCAAACATAATCAACAAAAACATCAGAAAAAAGAGACAATGATCAATCTCTAACCTTCTCAATGACTGTAAATGTTTCCTGACTTCAAACATAATCAACAAAAACATCAGAAAAAAGAGACAATGATCAATCTCTAACCTTTTCAATGACTGTAAATGTTTCCTGACTTCAAACATAATCAACAAAAACATCAGAAAAAAGAGACAATGATCAATCTCTAACCTTCTCAATGACTGTAAATGTTTCCTGACTTCAAACATAATCAACAAAAACATCAGAAAAAAGAGACAATGATCAATCTCTAACCTTCTCAATGACTGTAAATGTTTCCTGACTTCAAACAAAATCAACAAAAACATCAGAAAAAAGAGACAAAGATCAATCTCTAACCTTCTCAATGACTGTAAATGTTTCCTGACTTCAAACATAATCAACAAAAACATCAGAAAAAAGAGACAAAGATCAATCTCTAACCTTCTCAATGACTGTAAATGTTTCCTGACTTCAAACATAATCAACAAAAACATCAGAAAAAAGAGACAATGATCAATCTCTAACCTTCTCAATGACTGTAAATGTTTCCTGACTTCAAACATAATCAACAAAAACATCAGAAAAAAGAGACAATGATCAATCTCCAACCTTCTCAATGACTGTAAATGTTTCCTGACTTCAAACATAATCAACAAAAACATCAGAAAAAAGAGACAATGATCAATCTCTAACCTTCTCAATGACTGTAAATGTTTCCTGACTTCAAATATAATCAACAAAAACATCAGAAAAAAGAGACAATGATCAGTCTCTAACCTTCTCAATGACTGTAAATGTTTCCTGACTTCAAACATAATCAACAAAAACATCAGAAAAAAGAGACAATGATCAATCTCTAACCTTCTCAATGACTGTAAATGTTTCCTGACTTCAAACATAATCAACAAAAACATCAGAAAAAAGAGACAATGATCAGTCTCTAACCTTCTCAATGACTGTAAATGTTTCCTGACTTCAAACATTATCAACAAAAACATCAGAAAAAAGAGACAATGATCAATCTCTAACCTTCTCAATGACTGTAAATGTTTCCTGACTTCAAACATAATCAACAAAAACATCAGAAAAAAGAGACAATGATCAATCTCTAACCTTCTCAATGACTGTAAATGTTTCCTGACTTCAAACATAATCAACAAAAACATCAGAAAAAAGAGACAATGATCAATCTCTAACCTTCTCAATGACTGTAAATGTTTCCTGACTTCAAACGTAATCAACAAAAACATCAGAAAAAAGAGACAAAGATCAATCTCTAACCTTCTCAATGACTGTAAATATTTCCTGGCTTCAAACGTAATCAACAAAAACATCAGAAAAAAGAGACAAAGATCAATCTCTAACCTTCTCAATGACTGTAAATGTTTCCTGACTTCAAACTTAATCAACAAAAACATCAGAAAAAAGAGACAATGATAAATCTCTAACCTTTTCAATGACTGTAAATATTTCCTGACTTCAAACATAATCAACAAAAACATCAGAAAAAAGAGACAAAGATCAATCTCTAACCTTCTCAATGACTGTAAATGTTTCCTGACTTCAAACATAATCAACAAAAACATCAGAAAAAAGAGACAAAGATCAATCTCTAACCTTCTCAATGACTGTAAATGTTTCCTGACTTCAAACATAATCAACAAAAACATCAGAAAAAAAGAGACAATGATCAATCTCTAACCTTCTCAATGACTGTAAATGTTTCCTGACTTCAAACATAATCAACAAAAACATCAGAAAAAAGAGACAAAGATCAGTCTCTAACCTTCTCAATGACTGTAAATGTTTCCTGACTTCAAACATAATCAACAAAAACATCAGAAAAAGGAGACAAAGATCAGTCTCTAACCTTCTCAATGACTGTAAATGTTTCCTGACTTCAAACATAATCAACAAAAACATCAGAAAAAAGAGACAATGATCAATCTCTAACCTTCTCAATGACTGTAAATGTTTCCTGACTTCAAACATAAACAACAAAAACATCAGAAAAAAGAGACAATGATCAATCTCTAACCTTCTCAATGACTCTAAATATTTCCTGACTTCAAACATAATCAACAAAAACATCAGAAAAAAGAGACAATGATCAGTCTCTAACCTTCTCAATGACTGTAAATGTTTCCTGACTTCAAACATAATCAACAAAAACATCAGAAAAAAGAGACAATGATCAATCTCTAACCTTCTCAATGACTGTAAATGTTTCCTGACTTCAAACACAATCAACAAAAACATCAGAAAAAAGAGACAATGATCAATCTCTAACCTTCTCAATGGCTGTAAATGTTTCCTGACTTCAAACATAATCAACAAAAACATCATAAAAAAGAGACAATGACCAATCTCTAACCTTCTCAATGACTGTAAATGTTTCCTGGTAGTCACGGACTTTCCTGTGGAGATAAAATGCCCTTCTGCCTGGGTCAGGGATCTCTAGAGCCTTCTGGAAAACCCCACTGTCCATGAGATCCAATCCTGGAATCAGGTCACAAACAATTACCCTGTGTTTATGGCTAAAGAATCATTTACACCAGTGTTTCCTAAACATTTCTTAGTCGCTGCGCCTTTTTTGAATGAAACATTTTTCCTGGCGCTCTAACCTAAGTAAATGTATGACAATTTGAGTGTCTTTGAATATTTTGCGGTGCCCATGTGAAGAGGTCGCAGCTCCCTGCTGCGCCGTGGCGCACAGTTTGCAAATCACTGACTTACACTGTACAGCAGTATCTTCAACTTGTCTCCTCACAAAGATCCCTTACATTTATTACACATAAAAAGATACTCATTGTTTCTTAAGCCATTATAATAATGTCCATTATCACCTTGTCCTGTAGTCAATTACAGACAGTGGCGAGGTGTCATCAATTCACATGTGTAAGTGGTAGCAGGTAACCATTACAGTGGAGATAGTATCATGTGATAATTTCCTCCTATTTGATTCGTTGTTGACTGAGTATGCGTGTGAGTTAGCATTGTGGTAACAGTAACTTGAAGCTTTCACATGTTTAAGTATCTGAATAAATAGCGTCAGCATGCATCAAGTGTTCCGTTGGCTATGTTTGGGACATAAAACATGTGGGCATTTGTAATTAATAGTAAACTAGTAATAAATATATACATTAAATCTGTTCCTCAACCAAAACATTTTGTGACATTTAATCTATTCCTGGACCTAAACATTTCGTGACATTTAATCTGTTCCTGGACCTAAACATTTTGTGACATTTAATCTGTTCCTGGACCTAAACATTTTGTGACATTTAATCTGTTCCTGGACCTAAACATTTTGTGACATTTAATCTGTTCCTGGACCTAAACATTTTGTGACATTTAATCTATTCCTGGACCAAAACATTTTGTGACATTTAATCTATTCCTGGACCTAAACATTTTGTGATATTTAATCTATTCCTGGACCTAAACATTTTGTGACATTTAATCTATTCCTGGACCTAAACATTTTGTGACATTTAATCTTTTCCTGGAGCAAAACATTTTGTGACATTTAATCTTTTCCTGGACCTAAACATTTTGTGACATTTAATCTATTCCTGGACCTAAACATTTTGTGACATTTAATCTATTCCTGGACCTAAACATTTTGTGACATTTAATCTATTCCTGGACCTAAACATTTTGTGACATTTAATCTTTTCCTGGACCAAAACATTTTGTGACATTTAATCTATTCCTAGACCAAAACATTTTGTGACATTTAATCTTTTCCTGGACCAAAAAAATTTGTGACATTTAATCTATTCCTAGACCAAAACATTTTGTAACATTTAATCTATTCCTGGACCTAAACATTTTGTGACATTTAATCTATTCCTGGACCTAAACATTTTGTAACATTTAATCTATTCCTGGACCAAAACATTTTGTGACACTTAATCTATTCCTGGACCTAAACATTTTGTGACATTTAATCTATTCCTGGACCTAAACATTCTGTGACACTTAATCTATTCCTGGACCTAAACATTTTGTGACATTTAATCTATTCCTGGACCTAAACATTTTGTGACATTTAATCTATTCCTGGACCTAAACATTTTGTGACATTTAATCTATTCCTGGACCTAAACATTTTGTGACATTTAATCTTTTCCTGGAGCAAAACATTTTGTGACATTTAATCTTTTCCTGGAGCAAAACATTTTGTGACATTTAATCTATTCCTGGACCTAAACATTTTGTGACATTTAATCTGTTTCTGGACCAAAACATTTTGTGACACTGAAACTTTTCTGGTACCTGATGTAAATAACTGTCCAGCCCCTGACAGGACAACAACACGGCAATCTGGGTCTACAGCTAGCTTGTTGAAACAATCAACCATTTCTCTGTGCATAAGAAAATATTGACTTCAGAAATTACAAGCAGAAGACAATAAAGATCAAATCCTCAAAACCTAGCAACCAAAACAAACACATCTCCCCCTTTAACTCTGGTATGAAGTGGTATCTCACTTTCTGTGTTATCTTCATTTCCAACTCTGGAATAAAGTGCTATCTCACTTTCTGTGTTATCTTCTCCAACTCTGAATGTAGTGGTATCTCACTTTCTGTGTTATCTTCAACTCCAACTCTGAATGTAGTGGTATCTCACTTTCTGTGTTATCTTCAACTCCAACTCTGAATGTAGTGGTATCTCACTTTCTGTGTTATCTTCAACCTCAACTCTGGAATGTAGTGGGATCTTACTTCTGTGTTATCTTTATCTCCAACTCTGGAATGTAGTGATATCTCACTTTCTGTGTTATCTTCATCTCCAACTCTGGAATGTAGTGGTATCTCACTTTCTATGTTATCTTCAACTCCAACTCTGGAATGTAGTGGTATCTCACTTTCTGTGTTATCTTCATCTTCAACTCTGGAATGTAGTGGTATCTTACTTTCTGTGTCATCTCTACCTCCAACTCTGGAATATAGTGGTATCTCACTTTCTGTGTTATCTTCAACTCCAACTCTGGAATGTAGTGGTATCTCACTTTCTGTGTTATCTTCATCTCCAACTCTGGAATGTAGTGGTATCTTACTTTCTGTGTCATCTCTACCTCCAACTCTGGAATGTAGTGGTATCTCACTTTCTGTGTTATCTTCATCCTCAACTCTGGAATGTAGTGGCATCTCACTTTCTGTGTTGTCTCTACCTCCAACTGGAATATAGTGGTATCTCACTTTCTGTGTTATCTTCAACTCCAACTCTGGAATAAAGTGCTATCTCACTTTCTGTGTTATCTTCAACTCCAACTCTGGAATATAGTGCTATCTCACTTTCTGTGTTATCTTCATCCTCAACTCTGGAATGTAGTGGTATCTCACTTTCTGTGTTGTCTCTACCTCCAACTCTGGAATATAGTGGCATTTCACTTTCTGTGTTATCTTCAACTCTAACTCTGGAATGTAGTGGTATCTCACTTTCTATGTTATCTTCAGCTCCAACTCTGGAATGTAGTGGTATCTCACTTTCTGTGTTATCTTCATCCTCAACTCTGGAATGTAGTGGTATCTCACTTTCTGTGTTGTCTCTACCTCCAACTCTGGAATATAGTGGCATTTCACTTTCTGTGTTATCTTCAACTCTAACTCTGGAATGTAGTGGTATCTCACTTTCTATGTTATCTTCAACTCCAACTCTGGAATGTAGTGGTATCTCACTTTCTGTGTTATCTTCATCTCCAACTCTGGAATGTAGTGGTATCTTACTTTCTGTGTCATCTCTACCTCCAACTCTGGAATATAGTGGTATCTCACTTTCTGTGTTATCTTCAACCTCAACTCTGGAATGTAGTGGTATCTCACTTTCTGTGTTGTCTCTACCTCCAACTCTGGAATGTAGTGGTATCTCACTTTCTGTGTTATCTTCATCCTCAACTCTGGAATGTAGTGGTATCTCACTTTCTGTGTTGTCTCTACCTCCAACTCTGGAATGTAGTGGTATCTCACTTTCTGTGTTATCTTCAACTCCAACTCTGGAATGTAGTGGTATCTCACTTTCTGTGTTATCTTCATCTCCAACTCTGGAATGTAGTGGTATCTCACTTTCTGTGTTATCTCTACCCACTAACACACAAAAGAGTCACGGTGGCTATCCTACTTGTCTGCCAGTCCTGCTGAGGCTGAGTGCATGATGCTGAAACATTTTACTTAAACTTCCAGGTTGGGTCAGCCTAAACTTCCAGGTGGGGTCAGCCTAAACTTCCAGGCTGGGTTAGCCTTAACTTCCAGGTTGGGTTAGCCTCAACTTCCAGGTTGGGTTAGCCTCAACTTCCAGGCTGGGTTAGCCCTAACTTTCAGGTTGGGTTAGCCTAAACTTCCAGGTTGGGTTAGCCTAAACTTCCAGGTTGGGATAGCCTAAACTTCCAGGTTGGGTCAGCCTAAACTTCCAGGTTGGGTTAGCCTAAACTGGATACCAGAAAACATTCTGGGCAGTAAAGAGGCTGCTGTGATACTCATTACATAACCTATAAACTGCTGATTAATCTATGAACTATGGGGCTTGCACAACATAGACAATATACATAGCGAAATGGAAGGAGATTTATTTGTTACTAGTTTACTAATTGTAGACATTATCTCTTATTATGAAAAAGTAAATGCAGTTAAATGGCACACAGGGATCAAGTGATAGACAGCAGAGTGAAGCGAGTAGCTGATCTCTGCTGATTTTTATATAAATGATAGATATTACTGAAACAGTGTTTGTATTCCTTGTATGTTAAAACTTGTGACTTACGGCCAGAAAGCAGTGTTTGTATTCCTTGTATGTTAAAACTTGTGACTTACGCCCAGAAAGCAGTGTTTGTATTCCTTGTATGTTAAAACTTGTGACTTACGCCCAGAAAGCAGTGTTTGTATTCCTTGTATGTTAAAACTTGTGACTTACGCCCAGAAAGCAGTGTTTGTATTCCTAGTATGTTAAAACTTGTGACTTACGCCCAGAAAGCAGTGTTTGTATTCCTTGTATGTTAAAACTTGTGACTTACGCCCAGAAAGCAGTGTTTGTATTCCTTGTATGTTAAAACTTGTGACTTACGCCCAGAAAGCAGTGTTTGTATTCCTTGTATGTTAAAACTTGTGACTTACGCCCAGAAAGCAGTGTTTGTATTCCTTGTATGTTAAAACTTGTGACTTACGCCCAGAAAGCAGTGTTTGTATTCCTTGTATGTTAAAACTTGTGACTTACGCCCAGAAAGCAGTGTTTGTATTCCTTGTATGTTAAAACTTGTGACTTACGCCCAGAAAGCAGTGTTTGTATTCCTTGTATGTTAAAACTTGTGACTTACGCCCAGAAAGCAGTGTTCATTGCGTTTCTTTTGTCAGGACGGTTCAGCTCCACATTTTTGATCCACTCTGAAGGGGAGGTCACTTTCAAAGTTGTGAAAGTATATTCTGTGGTTGCGCTCATTCCCCTTGCCAGCAAGGTCACTCTGTGTAGGCTTGTTTCTGCTGCCAATGGATACAAAGTTACTATGAAGCAATACAAAGAAGCTAGCAGGCTTCCTTTAAAGCATCCACTACCAAGCTACCTCCCCCCCCCCCCCCCACACATCTGCTGGCATCAGCTAACATGTTCAACTTGTCTGTGACTTGTCCAGCTGTAACATCCCTCCCCACCCCACACATTTGCTGGCATCAGCTAACACGTTCTACTTGTCTGTGACTCGTCCAGCTGTAACATCCCTCCCCACCCCACACATTTGCTGGCGTCAGCTAACACGTTCCACTTGTCTGTGACTCGTCCAGCTGTAACATCCCTCCCCACACACATACACCTGCTGCTTTAAGCTGACATGTTCTACTTGTATGTGACCCATCCAGTTGTCGCACTTACCACACATCTGCTGGTGTCAGCTAACATGTTCTGCTTGTATGTGATCCATCCAGCTGTCACACTTACCACATGTCTGCTGGTGTCAGCTAACATGTTCTGCTTGTATGTGACCCATCCAGCTGTCACACTTACCACATGTCTGCTGCATTAAGCTGACATGTTCTGCTTGTATGTGACCCATCCAGCTGTCACACTTACCACACATCTGCTGGTGTCAGCTAACATGTTCTGCTTGTATGTGACCCATCCAGCTGTCACACTTACCACATGTCTGCTGGTGTCAGCTAACATGTTCTGCTTGTATGTGACCCATCCAGCTGTCACACTTACCACATGTCTGCTGGTGTCAGCTAACATGTTCTGCTTGTATGTGACCCATCCAGCTGTCACACTTACCACACATCTGCTGGTGTCAGCTAACATGTTCTGCTTGTATGTGACCCATCCAGCTGTCACACTTACCACATGTCTGCTGGTGTCAGCTAACATGTTCTGCTTGTATGTGACCCATCCAGCTGTCACACTTACCACACATCTGCTAGTGTCAGCTAACATGTTCTGCTTGTATGTGACCCATCCAGCTGTCACACTTACCACACATCTGCTGGTGTCAGCTAACACATTCTACTTGTATGTGACCCATCCAGCTGTCACACTTACCACACATCTGCTGGTGTCAGCTAACACATTCTACTTGTATGTGACCCATCCAGCTGTCACACTTACCACACATCTGCTGGTGTCAGCTAACACATTCTACTTGTATGTGACCCATCCAGCTGTCACACTTACCACACATCTGCTGGTGTCAGCTAACACATTCTACTTGTATGTGACCCATCCAGCTGTCACACTTACCACACATCTGCTGGTGTCAGCTAACACATTCTACTTGTATGTGACCCATCCAGCTGTCACACTTACCACACATCTGCTGGTGTCAGCTAACACATTCTACTTGTATGTGACCCATCCAGCTGTCACACTTACCACACATCTGCTGGTGTCAGCTAACACATTCTACTTGTATGTGACCCATCCAGCTGTCACACTTACCACACATCTGCTGGTGTCAGCTAACACATTCTACTTGTATGTGACCCATCCAGCTGTCACACTTTACCACACATCTGCTGGTGTCAGCTAACACATTCTACTTGTATGTGACCCATCCAGCTGTCACACTTACCACATGTCTGCTGCTTTAAGCTGACATGTTCTACTGTTCTGTAACCTGTCCAGTTGTTACATTCACAAACATCTGCCCAAATCTTTACTTCAGCCTCCTGCTCCATAACACTTCATGCTTACTATCCAGATCGAAATATTCACCAGTTAAAGTACCAGCAGAACTAGTTTATGTAACACCCACAAAGAGTGAAATCTGGTATTCACTGATGGTCGCAGCAAATATCAAATGGAGTCAATTAAAATGTCCAACAATATCATAAAAAATGTTCAAGACTAAATACCCACGTCATGTACAAACACACTGGATGTATTTAGTGTACTCTGATTAAACTTCAGATCTACAATTACACATTGGGTGGTAAACATAAAAAATAGTCACACACACTAAAAATCAAAATGCACATCTCAATGATTATGGTTTTATAACCCAGAAGTGCTTTACACGACTTTAAGTTTTAATTCCGACTACTTTTTATGAAAGTTTATAGGGGTTAAAGAACGCAGTAATTGTCTAACCTGAAAGAATAGGACGAACTAGTCGATTTACTAATCTCAGACTCCCATACATGGCACCGTCGTCCGAGCTGGGTTCATGAGTTGAGTGATTGCTTGTGAGTTTGTTGGCTAAGTTGATTGATATCGTCTTACTTATAGCTGGTAAACTTTATTTCCTGAACTTGTTTCCATCTTGTTTGTGTGCTGGTCGGTGTGCGATCAACGTCTGTCTACAGCGGATAAATGTTTGCCTCCTGAGCGTGTTCCAAGCTTGTTAGTGAGATAGATAGTCGGTTGACGGACGATGAACTGTTGGCTCTACAGTACAACAGCAGATCAACTTTGTCTCCTGAACTTTTACCCCGCCCTGTTGGTTTGTTGTCTGATATTTTGTGTTTAGAATGATGTCCCCTTGGTGATAGCGGTTCCCACGTTGTATAGTGTTGGTTCTATCTTATCTATCTATCTATCTATCTATCTATCTATCTATCTATCTATCTATCTATCTATCTATCTATCTATCTATCTATCTATCTATCTATCTATCTATCTATCTATCTATCTATCTATCTATCTATCTATCTATCTATCTATCTATCTATCTATCTATCTATCTATCTATCTATCTATCTATCTATCTATCTATCTATCTATCTATCTATCTATCTATCTATCTATCTATCTATCTATCTATCTATCTATCTATCTATCTATCTATCTATCTATCTATCTATCTATCTATCTATCTATCTATCTATCTATCTATCTATCTATCTATCTATATATATCTATCTATCTATCTATCTATCTATCTATCTATCTATCTATCTATCTATCTATCTATCTATCTATCTATCTATCTATCTATCTATCTATCTATCTATCTATCTATCTATCTATCTATCTATCTATCTATCTATCTATCTATCTATCTATCTATCTATCTATCTATCTCTATCTATCTATCTATCTATCTATCTATCTATCTATCTATCTATCTAATCTATCTATCTATCTATCTATCTATCTATCTATCTATCTATCTATCTATCTATCTATCTATCTAATCTATCTATCTATCTATCTATCTATCTATCTATCTATCTATCTATCTATCTATCTATCTATCTATCTATCTATCTATCTATCTATCTATCTATCTATCTATCTATCTATCTATCTATCTATCCATCCATCTATCTATCAATCTATCTATCTATCTATCCATCTATCTATCTATCTATCCATCCATCCATCTATCCATCCATCTATCCATCCATCTATCCATTCATCAATCCATCCATCCATCTATCTATCCATCTATCCATCCAATCTATCCGTCTATCCGTCTGTCTGTCTGTTATATAATGTGTGCATGTGTCTGTGTGTGTGGCTTCGTGTGTATCTGTGTATGTGTATCTTTTTGATAAAGTGTGCGTCTGTGTGTGTGCATCTGCATGTGTGTGTCTGTGTAAGTGTTTGTGCATCTGTGGGTGTATTGGTATGTATATGTGTGCCATTATGTGTCTGTGCGTGTGACTGTGTGTGTATCTGTGTCTCTCTGTGGCTGTGCGTGTCTGTGGCTTTGTGTGTATCTGTGTGTGTCTCTATGGGTGTGTCTATTATATAATGTCTGTCTGTGCGTATGTCTCTGTTTGTGTCAGTTTATGTGTATATCTGTGTGCGTATGTGTTTGCGTGTCTGTGTGTGTATCTGTGAGTGTTGTGGATGTATATGTGTTTGTGTGTCTGTGTGTTTCCCTTCATCTGTGTGTGTGTGTGTGCCTGTGGCCGAGTGTGTGTGTGTCTGTGTGGGTTTATGTCGGTGTGTGTGTGTTTGTAAGTGTCTTTTTGTGCGACTACGTGTGTGTGTATGTGTGTGTGTCTGTATAGCTGTGCGTCTATGTGTCTGGGTTGTATGTGTGTTTTAGAGTGTGTTTGTGAGAGTGTGTCTGTGTGGGTGATTGTGTGTATGAGTGTGTGTATGCACGTACCCATCCATGATATCAAACTGATTGCACAGGTTAGAGTGGAATGTCGGGATAGACTGAGAGCCCTATGTAACATAGAATGGCACAACTTAACATTGACTGTGGACTGACCGACGTCAGGTCAAACATGAAATAAAACGATCCTAGAACGGGACGAGTGGTGTTTGTACTTCCGGTGGAAACATGGCAGACTCGGAAAATGAGGAGGTAAATAAACGTTAGCATTTTTTGAAGTAAACATTTAAAACCAGTCCGCGAAAAGTTTTTTTTAAATCTGACTATCTTTGTTGATCTATTCTATGGGTTGATTTAGTGAGCATGTAACCTTGACTATCACTGTGGTGCCTTGCTAAGAGGACATTCTAGAACTTTATTTTGATTTTTTTTTCCAGTTTTTTCGTTTCACACAATCTTTTTTCTTTTTCAGTGACAGCACTTGTTAACTTTGTGTGAGTGGTAATTTGACAGTTAATTCATCAAAGCTTTACATGCTTGTTTATTTATTTGACGCTTGAATTGTAAATTTACTCTATTGCATATTGCAACAGTCAGCGTTTTAAAAAAAGCCTGAATTTTGATTTTATGCATTTTTTGTCATTTCATTTGCATTCGTCTAGATACTTTAGTCAAATTTTTAAAATGCCCTCTACACCAATAAAACCAGCACAGTTAGATAGCTGTAAACAATCTCTTTCCAACGGTACCTCGTTTAGGCTTGTATGTCATATCTGAGCTGAGATATGTAGGTTTTTGTGATGAGATGTAAAAAAAACAGCTGTTGAAAACTTACGTCTGTGAAACAAGAAGTTTTCTCTGCGCAACCAAACTGCGCACTTATCGTTTTGGTTTGGCTTTGTTTGCATTGGACAAGATGGCAGATAATGAGACACAGCCACATAATAGCGATTGCCTGAAAAATGTAACTGTAAATCTAAAAAGCCACTGATAAGAAAGAAATTATATATACAAATGTAAAATTGGACGGAGAATTCAATTATAACTAGCATTACCTGTACGAGTAATGTTAATGCCTAAAACCAACCTTGAATTCATACTTACCGCTATTTTCACAGCATGATAATAGCGATTGCCGGAAAAAGTCACTGTAAATCTAAAAAGCCACTGATACGAAAGAAATTTGATATACAAATGTAAAATTGGACGGAGAATTCAATTATAACCAGCATTACCAGTACTAGTAATGTTAAAGCCTAACACCAACATTGAATACTTATCGCTATTTTTAATAAAACTGATGTAACAGAAAAACAGAGGACTTTCGGCTGTCGTAGACATGCGCTGTTAATCGGGTTCGTTCCCGCCATTTTCAGCTTTTTATACTGGTGAAAACCACACCATTCGCAAAATTTCATGAGAGATTAGGACCCATCCCGAAACCCCAGCCGACATTTCCCAAACAAGTTTCGAACGGTTTCCATGGTAACGGAAATTGCCAAAAGGCCGCAAATTGCCGAACACCGTAGTCACTACATTCGTTTCACTGAATTCATAATTTGGCTCTCCTTTAAATAACGGTCGCTAGCTGGAAGGCGACAGCCGCTTAGTCGGAGTTCACTCCCTTGGCTGCAGTGCAAATACGGAGTGGTAAAGAGGGAACGAAACAAAAGATATAGTTACCTGTCATCCTAGGGTTTGGGTTAGGGTTTGGGGTAGGGGTAGGGTTTGTGGTAAGGTTGGGGGTAGGGTTAGGGTGACAAATCACGGAAACGACGGAAGCTTATCGCTCATTACGACATACAGATCTGCAGGTCTCACATCTACGGTCACTAAGTCGTGGTTGGAAGAACGCGGTCGCTACTGTGAGTCGCAGCGCGTGGTCTACGAGAGTCTTGCGTCGCAAGACAGGGGTCGCTACTGTCAGTCGCAGTGCGTGGTCTAGCTCTAGCAGGCATGTCGACCTCACTTTGTTTTTTGATTCGTGACTTGTCCGCTCCGTATTTGCACTGCAGCCAAGGGGGTGAACTCCGACTAAGCGGCCGTCGCCTTTCAGCTAGCGACCGTTATTTAAAGGAGAGCCCATAATTTAAATCAATAATAAAATTTTCTGAGTCCTGAAGAAGGAGGGTCCATAATTAGGTATCAGAATGAGTTTGCTGTCCAGACTTTTATTCTCACTTGGTGTTAGAGTACCCGTCCCGTTGGATTGTTATAGAATGTGTTCTATATATGATCTGCTCCTGTAGTTTGGATTTGAATGACCCAACCTGGCCTGGTACGTTGTGCTGCTCCTGGGGTTTATCTACACAGTTCAGCTGGTTCCATGTCAGAAAATGCCCTTATATTGTAAAATCTGTAGCCTCTTCCTGAACATTATTTCCCCCAGATATTTTGTATACATTGTGAAACTGGCTGTGATTTCATTCTAGGAGGCTACGATAAAATAGCAGCTGTGACTGATTGGCCCTATCATATAACAGATTCTTAAACTGTGTTCTGTTTCCTGTGCAGAGTTCTCAAGCTGATGCATCAAGTCATGGTAGCAGAAGCTCCAGTCCTGTCAAAAGTCCTCACAGTCAGTGGAGTGGAAGTCCTGCAGGCAGCCACAGGAGTGGAAGTCCGGCAGGCAGTCACAGGAGTGGAAGTCCTACAGGTAGCCACAGGAGTGGAAGTCCTGCAGGCAGCCACAGGAGTGGAAGTCCTGCAGGCAGCCACAGGAGTGGGAGTCCTGCAGGCAGTCACAGGAGTGGGAGTCCTGCAGGCAGCCACAGGAGTGGGAGTCCTGCAGGCAGTCACAGGAGTGGGAGTCCTGCAGGCAGCCACAGGAGTGGAAGTCCTGCAGGTAGCCACAGGAGTGGGAGTCCTGCAGGCAGCCACAGGAGTGGGAGTCCTGCAGGCAGCCACAGGAGTGGGAGTCCTGCAGGCAGCCACAGGAGTGGAAGTCCTGCAGGCAGCCACAGGAGTGGAAGTCCTGCAGGCAGCCACAGGAGTGGGAGTCCTGCAGGCAGCCACAGGAGTGGAAGTCCTGCAGGCAGTCACAGGAGTGGGAGTCCTGCAGGCAGCCACAGGAGTGGGAGTCCTGCAGGCAGCCACAGGAGTGGAAGTCCTGCAGGCAGTCACAGGAGTGGGAGTCCTGCAGGCAGTCACAGGAGTGGGAGTCCTGCAGGCAGTCACAGGAGTGGGAGTCCTGCAGGCAGTCACAGGAGTGGGAGTCCTGCAGGCAGTCACAGGAGTGGGAGTCCTGCAGATAGTCAGAGAAGTGCAAGTCCTCTAGGTAGCCACAGGAGTGGAAGTCCTGCAGGTAGCCATAGGAGTGGAAGCCCAGTTGGTAGCCACGGGAGTGGAAGTCCTGCTGGCAGTGACAGGAGTGGAAGTCCTGCTGGCAGTGAAAGAAGTGGCAGCCCCGCCGTTGCAAGTCACAGAAGTGGTAAAGTCTTTCATCATTCTTCTCGTCAGCATCTAGATTTCTGTATTTTTTGTCACGTGTGTGAGGTGAATTAGTTAAGAGGTTTGCATGTTGTGTGTGTGAGAGGTGGATGAGAGTGAGGTGGAGGGTTGTTGTCATCAGTCAGATGAAGTTAGTCTAGAGAAATTGAACCAGATATAAATAAACGCCAGAATCGGTCACAGTATGCTAATTGCAGAACTGAAAATAAATAGTGTACACCATTGCTAGATGCGCATGTAGTGTCAAGCTGGTAGGGGCGGGAAGATGTGCAAATGGTGTCAAGCTGGTATGGTTGGGAAGATATGCATATAGTGTCAAGCTGAAATGGGCGGGAAGATGTGCATGTGGTGTCAAGCTGGAATAGGGGGGAAGATGTGCATGTAGTGTCAAGCTGGAATAGGGGGGAAGATGTGCATATAGTGTCAAGCTGCAACGGGCGGGAGGATGTGCATTTAGTGTCAAGCTGGTATGGTTGGGAAGATGTGCATATAGTGTCAAGCTGAAATGGGCGGGAAGATGTGCATGTAGTGTCAAGCTGAAATGGGCGGGAAGATGTGCATGTAGTGTCAAGCTGAAATGGGCGGGAAGATGTGCATGTAGTGTCAAGCTGGAATAGGGGGGAAGATGTGCATGTAGTGTCAAGCTGGAATAGGCGGGGAAGATGTGCATGTAGTGTCAAGCTGAAATGGGCGGGAAGATGTGCATGTAGTGTCAAGCTGGAATAGGGGGGAAGATGTGCATGTAGTGTCAAGCTGAAATGGGCGGGAAGATGTGCATGTAGTGTCAAGCTGGAATAGGGGGGAAGATGTGCATGTAGTGTCAAGATGAAATGGGCGGGAAGATGTGCATGTAGTGTCAAGCTGGAATAGGGGGGAAGATGTGCATGTAGTGTCAAGCTGGAATAGGGGGGAAGATGTGCATGTAGTGTCAAGCTGGAATAGGGGGGAAGATGTGCATGTAGTGTCAAGCTGGAATAGGGGGGAAGATGTGCATGTAGTGTCAAGCTGGAATAGGGGGGAAGATGTGCATGTAGTGTCAAGCTGGAATAGGGGGGGAAGATGTGCATGTAGTGTCAAGCTGGAATAGGGGGGGAAGATGTGCATGTAGTGTCAAGCTGGAATAGGGGGGGAAGATGTGCTGAAATAGGGCGGGAAGATGTGCATGTAGTGTCAAGCTGGAATAGGGGGGAAGATGTGCATGTAGTGTCAAGCTGGAATATGGGGGGAAGATGTGCATGTAGTGTCAAGCTGGAATAGGGGGGAAGATGTGCATGTAGTGTCAAGCTGGAATAGGGGGAAGATGTGCATGTAGTGTCAAGCTGGATAGGGGGGAAGATGTTCATGTAGTGTCAAGCTGGAATAGGGGGGAAGATGTGCATGTAGTGTCAAGCTGGAATAGGGGGGAAGATGTGCATGTAGTGTCAGTGCATGCTGGAAGCTGGAATAGGGGAAGATGTGCATGTAGTGTCAAGCTGGAATGGGGGGGGAAGATGTGCATGTAGTGTCAAGCTGGGGGGGAAGATGTGCATGTATGTCAAGGGGGGAAGATGTGCATGTCAAGTGTCAGATGTGCTAGTGTCAATAGGGGGGGAAGATGTGCATGTAGTGTCAAGCTGGAATAGGGGGGGAAGATGTGCATGTCAAGCTGAAATCGGGAAGAGTGCTGAATAGGGGGGTGCATGTAGTGTCAAGCTGAATAGGGGGGAAGATGTGCATGTAGTGTCAAGCTGGAATAGGGGGGAAGATGTGCATGTAGTGTCAAGCTGGAATAGGCGGGAAGATGTGCATGTAGTGTCAAGCTGGAATAGGGGGGAGATGTGCATGTAGTGTCAAGCTGGAATAGGGGGGAAGATGTGCATGTAGTGTCAAGCTGGAATAGGGGGGGAAGATGTGCATGTAGTGTCAAGCTGGAATAGGGGGGGAAGATGTGCATGTAGTGTCAAGCTGGAATAGGCGGGAAGATGTGCATGTAGTGTCAAGCTGATATAGGGGGGAAGATGTGCATGTAGTGTCAAGCTGAAATAGGCGGGGAAGATGTGCATGTAGTGTCAAGCTGATATAGGGGGGAAGATGTGCATGTGGTGTCAAAGCTGAAATAGGCGGGGAAGATGTGCATGTAGTGTCAAGCTGAAATAGGGGGGAAGATGTGCATGTAGTGTCAAGCTGAAATAGGGGGGAAGATGTGCATGTAGTGTCAAGCTGAAATAGGGGGGAAGATGTGCATGTAGTGTCAAGCTGAAATAGGGGGGAAGATGTGCATGTAGTGTCAAGCTGGAAGGGGCGGGAAGATGTGCATGTAGTGTCAAGCTGGAACGGGCGGGAAGATTTGCATATAGTGTCAAGCTGGAACGGGCTGGAAGATGTGCAAATGGTGTCAAGCTGGTATGGTTGGGAGGATTGCATATAGTGTCAAGCTGAAATGGGCGGGAAGATGTGCAAATGGTGTCAAGCTGGTATGGTTGGGAAGATTGCATATAGTGTCAAGCTGAAATGGGCGGGAAGATGTGCATGTAGTGTTAAGCTGGAATGGGCAGGAAGATGTGCATATAGTGTCAAGCTGGTATGGTTGGGAAGATTGCATATAGTGTCAACTGAAATGGGCGGGAAGATGTGCATGTAGTGTCAAGCTGGAATGGGCAGGAAGATGTGCATATAGTGTCAAGCTGGTATGGTTGGGAAGATTGCATATAGTGTCAAGCTAGAATGGGCGGGAAGATGTGCATATAGTCTCAAGCTGGAATGGGCGGGAAGATGTGCATATAGTGTCAAGCTGGAACGGGCGGGAAGATTGCATATAGTTTCAAGATGGAACGGGCGGGAAGATGTGCATATAGTGTCAAGCTGGTATGGGTAGGAAGATTTGCATATAGTGTCAAGCTGGTATGGGCAGGAAGATTTGCATATAGTGTCAAGCTGGAATGGGCAGGAAGATGTGCATATCGTGTCAAGCTGGTATGGGCAGGAAGATGTGCATATAGTGTCAAGCTGGAATGGGCAGGAAGATGTGCATATAGTGTCAAGCTGGTATGGTTGGGAAGATTGCATATAATCTCAAGCTGGTATGGGCAGGAAGATGTGCATATAGTGTCAAGCTGGAATGGGCAGGAAGATGTGCATATCGTGTCAAGCTGGTATGGGCAGGAAGATGTGCATATAGTGTCAAGCTGGAATGGGCAGGAAGATGTGCATATAGTGTCAAGCTGGAATGGGCAGGAAGATGTGCATATAGTGTCAAGTTGGTATGGTTGGGAAGATTGCATATAGTGTCAACTGAAATGGGCGGGAAGATGTGCATATAATCTCAAGCTGGTATGGGCAATAAGATGTGCATATAGTGTCAAGCTGGAACGGGCTGGAAGATGTGCATATAGTGTCAAGCTAGAATGGGCGGGAAGATGTGCATATAGTCTCAAGCTGGAATGGGCGGGAAGATGTGCATATAGTGTCAAGCTGGAACGGGCGGGAAGATTGCATATAGTTTCAAGCTGGAACGGGCGGGAAGATGTGCATATAATCTCAAGCTGGTATGGGCGGGAAGATGTGCATATAGTGTCAAGCTGGTATGGGCAGGAAGATTTGCATATAGTGTCAAGCTGGTATGGGCAGGAAGATTTGCATTTAGTGTCAAGCTGGTATGGGCAGGAAGATTTGCATAAAGTGTCAAGCTGGTATGGGCAGGAAGATGTGCATATAGTGTCAAGCTGGTATGGGCAGGAAGATCTGCATAAAGTGTCAAGCTGGAATGGGCAGGAAGATGTGCATATAGTGTCAAGCTGGTATGAGCGGGAAGATGTGCAAATAGTGTCAAGCTGGTATGGGCAGGAAGATGTGCATATAGTGTCAAGCTGGTATGGGCAGGAAGATGTGCAAATAGTGTCAAGCTGGAATGGGCAGGAAGATGTGCATATAGTGTCAAGCTGGTATGGGCGGGAAGATGTGCAAATAGTGTCAAGCTGGTATGGGCAGGAAGATGTGCATATAGTGTCAAGCTGGAACGGGCGGGAAGATGTGCATATAGTGTCAAGCTGGTATGGGCGGGAAGATGTGCAAATAGTGTCAAGCTGGTATGGGCGGGAAGATGTGCAAATAGTGTCAAGCTGGTATGGGCGGGAAGAACAAATTGACAGTCATGATACAGACAGAAGCTCTGTAGCCTCTTTAGTTGACTCCTTGTTTAGCAAAACAATTGACAACTCCCCCTTCCTTCCACCCACACCCAATAAGTACATTGAAACAAATCAACCAATGAAGAGTGTTTCCTTCACAGTTAGAGTGCATCTGCCTGAGAGACAATGAGCCAAAAGTCTTTATACAAATTAGCCAGATCTGTAAAATGGATGTGCATGTAAAACTTAAGTTCTGAAACAAGACCAAAGTCCAGAAGTGGACGAACAACCAGAACTTCCTTCTAGAGTGTACAGCCAGTAAATGATACTTAGGAGAATACTAAATATGTTGAAATCTTCAACAAGGATTAAGTTGATAATTTTAATAATATAATAGTATAATATTTACTTGTGCACTCATCTGAACTCGCCACTACCATGAGCTGCAAGTCTCATGCCTTCTCATAGCGCAGTATAACACTGTTGTCTGAAAAGATGGAAAGGTGCCAATTATCTCTCATCTGAACTACATCTTCAGGAAGTCCAGCAACCAGTCAACCAGGGAGTCCGACGACCAGTCAGCCACGGAGTCCAGCGACCAGTCAGCCACGGAGTCCAGCGACCAGTCATCGAAGCCGAAGTGGGAGCCCATTGGGCAGTCATCCAGGTAGTCCAGCAG